CTATTTTGCACCCCATGCTTTTTGCCTCCTCCACAGAAAGCCAAGTTGTGCCTTCCCCACAGGTGGGAAGAGTTTTCACCCGCCTTGAAAACCCCTTCAGCCTTGGTTAGTTCATCAGCTCCTGGTGAAGCCAGGCCAGTGGGAAGGAAGAGCAAGAAGGCCGGGGAGTTGGGACCTGGACTTCATCCTCCATCACAGGCGCCAAGTCACAGCTGGGCTATGTGTCTCCCTTAAACGGAGCCCTTTGCGTTTCTTCCTTTCTTCCTCAGTTTCTTCCGTTGTTATATGAGGGAGTTGACTGAGATCACCAAGGTCCCTTCTTGTAGTGTGACTGCTTGGTGTTATACACATGCAGAGGTGAGGCTCAACTGCAGGGCCTCCCTTACATGGGCAGGTCCAGGCCCTGTGGAGCAGGAATCAATTTGACCTAATTCAGAGAGCTCAAGTGGGGAAAGGGATGCAATAATGGTCAGCCTCCTGCTGACTCCTTAGGGTTTTCCCCCTCCTCCAGCTATTCACTGGCTTATACTCTGCCTCCTGTAAATCATGAGCAGCTAGCTAGGTTTGTTAGAAAGAGCTGTGAACCAAAAATGAGAAGGCAGCCTTAGACTGCAACCATTTTCCAGCCATATGATATTGATCTACTCTGAGTCTGTTTTCTCATCTGTAAAATGGGATTAGTAATACCTACCACATAGTGACCTGAGGTATTCTATAAAACTCTATCTGTAAGTGCCTTGCACAGAGCCTGATGTGTAAAGGTCCCTGTTTAAATATTTCTTGGGCCTGAGTGCTTATGATCAGAGGCCATAGCACCTGCAATTTCTGTGGTTCTGTGGAAGTGATATTGGAGCACATCAACCTGAGAAAAAGAACTCTTTATTAATCTTCCAGGAACTAGAACAGAATCTTTCTTCCTTCAGTACATTCCTGGTTTCTTTGTCCAGTACTGTCTTCCCCTCCATCTGACTCAGGAATTACATTTTTACATTCCTTTCAAACGATACAATTGCAGTGCAACAATTCCCAAGGTAATAGAATAACTGTCTCTCTTGCTGGCTCTATTTTTTCTTTTCTTTCTTTTTTTTTCTTGACAACAGAAAACTGCTTTTTTCCCTCCAGAAAAGAAGCAACAGCACCCTGTCAATGTTGAATTCTGGCAGAAATGAAGCCACTAAAATGGAAAGAGAAAAAATATTTTGGCAACAGCCAGGAATGAGAAATTGCATAGCATTTACTGGGTTATATATATTTTACGGATACAGGATATTCTCTGTTATTGGCAATGATTGTCTCTGTGGTCAATGCTGATTTCTAAAATAATTCTCTCTCCAGTGCACTTGGCAGATTCATTGCACTGATGGCCTCGGTTTGTTTGTGTTAATCTCTCCCTTCGCTCTGTCACTTTGCAGCCCCCTCCATAAACAGGCGGGATACATATTAACCCATCTCTTGCTTTTGGACTTGGTCATGTGGCTTGCTTAGGCCCATGGTGGTCACGATATGAGCAGAAGCTTTAAAAGATGCTGTTGTGTTTCCACTAGTTCTTTTGCACCCCTGACTTACCGTGAAAATGTGCCAGTCCAGCCCGCCAGAGAGATGTGAGAGACATGCGGAAGAGAGCTGAGCCGTCCAAGCCAAGGCCATCCTAAACCATCCAGCTCCTGTCAGCAGAGCACAGCCGCATGAACAGAGCCGCCCTTGTCAACAGAAATAAATGTTTCCTGTTGCAAGCCACCAAAGTTTGGTGATTGTTACACAGTACTAACCCCTTCACCACATTTCCTTAAAGTGCTGCTGCCTGGGGGCGACCCCCAGCTTCTCCAACTGAAATGGTGAATAAATTCCTGTAATTTGAGCCTCACTGATTTTACAGTCAGCAGCCTGGAGAGCTGGTTTGAAATCTCCATCCCAGGCAGACTGCCCTTTAAATATTCCCTAAATACAACCTGCACGTCCCTGCCTCTGCCTCTGCACATTGTATGTATCCACACTGACATGTCCTTCCTTCTCCTCCCTGCTGATTTGCATCATACCAGATGTCCAAGGACCGACTTTAAAACCAGCCTTTTCTGAATGACCTCCTGCCACCATTCCCTGCCTTTTCAGCCTATTAATTCAGGTTATTTCTTGCCCGAGCAATAAATCGGATATCAGACCGATGTTTGCCATATATGGCTGCTGTTTTTTGTTTGTTTGTTTCTTTGTTTTAAATCTCAGTTGTTTATTAAAGTAGATCTCAAGTTCCTGGAGGTCAGGGCCCTCTTACACCTCTTTTGTCCCCCAAGCCTTGTGTAGTACCTTGAAAAGGGAGGTACAGGGCCTTTCACTTAAGACTTTAATATTTGTAGGTTGACCGTCACTGGGGGGCTAATTGTTAAGTATCATTGCTAATGAATAAAACCAGAAGAGTGGATGAGTGAATGGAGGGATGGATGTATAGACACAGACAGATAGGTAGATAGATAGACAGATGGACAGATAGATAGATAGGTAGCTACATAGATACATAGACAGACAAAGTTAGATTTTTCCAGACCTGAATTTGTAGAATATGACCCCATTCTACTATAATTCTCATGAGGAAAACAAATTTTACTTTAAAATGCCACCTTGCTCCTAAAGATTTTACTGACCTCCCATTCATTCTCTCCAGATTAGACATGACCTCTTCCTTCTCTGATATCTCTCAGGAGACAGTCAAGTTCTCACCTGCTCACCTCCACCATGCCACATGGCACAAACAGCAGGTCCTTCAGGCTGTATCTTAATTACGTATGGAAATCCAGCACCTGGTAAGGTGCTTACTGCACAGGGAGTACTCAGTAACTATTTGATTATTTTGTCTGTCCCACCTTTGTCTTTATTTTAAATGCCCTACTTCAGGCCCTTATTATTGCTCATAGAGACAACTGCAAAGATCTTGTAACTGGCCTTCTTGCTTCTAGCCCTGTCTCCCTCCTTCACCTCTCAACCTGTTAGCAATGCACACATAAGCAATTCAACTTAAAAGGAAAATCCAACCTGGCTGTACTCCTACTAAAAATTTTAATAGAAGGCCAGGTGCAATGGCTCACCCCTGTGATCCCAGCACTTTGGGAGGCTGAGGTGGGCGGATCACCTGAGGTTGGGAGAGTTCGAGACCAGCCTGAATGACGTGGGGAAACCCTGTCTCTATTAAAAATACAAAATTAGCCAGGCATGATGGCACATGCCTATAATCCCAGCTACTTGGGAGGCTGAGGCAGGAGAATTGCTTGAACCCAGGAGGTGGAGGTTGCAGTAAGCAGAGATTGCGCTATTGCATTTCAGCCTGGGCAACAAGAGCAAAACTTGATCTCAAAAAAAAACAAAAATATCTTAATGGCTCCCCTCTTCTTCAAGGTATTAATAAAAGCCAAGCTCTTAGGCTTTGCACACAAAGCCCACTAAGATCTTCCCATCCTACCTGTGTAGATCCTTCTTTCATAACAGCCTCAAACTTTATTCCAGAAGATAGTACAGCCTGTGTGTCATGTAACCGTTTATGCTAGACGGTTTCTCCCCAAAGGTACCTTGGCCCCCTGCCTCTTTAGATGACTCATTGACTCACCTGGCCCAGCCCAATCCATCCTGACCTTTCCTCCTGCCTACAAATTTTCCCCACCCCATAGGTGCCCCACTGATTGACACGTCACATTGTGATTACCTGATTTAAGTGGAAGCTTCCTGAGAAGTCTGACACTAGCGTAGTATTAAATTAGCCTAGGTCCAGGGCCAACTGTTGCATTCAGGCACTCCTCTGCCACCCTTGGTACCTGGGTTCACATCAGTATAACCGCCCATTATTGTAACTACCCGGTGGGTTCTCCTTGCCTGCTGCCCTGATAGAGTTGATTTATCAAGACTGGAGAATTGCAACAGAGAAAGAGTGTAATTCACACAGAACCAACTAACTGGGAAACCAGAGTTTTATTACTCAAATCAGTCTCCCTGAAAATTCAGAGTCTGGAGTTATTAAGGATAATATGGCAGGCCAGCGAGTGGGGAGTGCTGATTGGTCATTTCAGAGATGAAATCACAGGGGATGGAAGGGAGTTCTTGCAGTCTTTTGTTCCTGGGTGGGATCAGAGAACTGGCTGAGCCAGATTATCAGCCTGGGTGGTGCCAGCTGGTGCATCAGAATGCAGGGTCTGAAAAACACCTTGAGCACCAACTTCGGTTTTACGATGGTGATGTTATCCCTAGGAACGATCGGGGAGGTTGGAATTGTGTGGCTTCTGGCTGCATGACTCCTAAACCATGATTTCCAATCTTGTGGCTAATTTGTTCGTCTTACTAAGGAAGTCTGCTCCCAGTCAATAAGCGGATTTGTTTCCAGAAAGGGCAGTTCTCCTCCTTGTTTCAAAATTAAACTGTAAGCTAATTCCTCCCAAAGTTAGTTTGGCCTACACCCAGGAGGGACCAACAGCAGCTTGGAGGCTTGGCGCAAGATGGAGCTGGTTAGCTCAGGTCCCTTTCACTGTCATAACTTTCTCACGGTTACAACTTTTGCAAAGGTAGCTTCAGAGGGCAGATGAAGATTTACTTAAATGTCTCACGATGGCGATGATGGCGGCTAATATTCATTGAGCACTTACTGTGTACCAGATACTGTTCTAAGTGCTTTAAATAGATCAGCTCACTTGGCATTCGCAGTAATCTTACGGGGCACATACCAGTAGTATCCTCATTCTAGCACGGAGGGTTGGAAAGGTTAATTAAGTTTCCTAAGATTACATAGCTACAAAGCTAGAAACTGCAGGCAGACCCAAGCAACCTGATTCTAGGGCCTGTAACCTGCACCACCAGCTCGTGTCGCCCACGTTCCTGTTTTCCAGGGGCCTTCTCTAATTTCTCAGTCATTTCCTTTCCCAAGAACAGAGAAGAAGGGCCACGAAGAGAACATTTCTGGTTGCTTTTTTATTCATTTAGTTTACCTAAATTCTCTCATTATTACCAAATGACACATACTGAGCCAGGTTGAGGCCCATCTCGTCTTCGTTTTATCTGTATCTGTTGACTTGACCATGAAGATAACTTCTTTACTTTCAAATTTGAGTGATTAGCAAAGAGCTACATAATGTAACCAGTTTTGCTTTTTGCAAACCATCTCTGTTTCTCAGCGGGCTGGAAACCACACTATTGCTTCCTCTTTACTTTGCAGTGAGAGCACAGCATTTGTCACTCAACCTCTGAAGGTTAGTGACACTGCTGGGACAGGAAAGGACTGTGCTGGCCCAAATGGCAGGCATCTCATATGTGGCATCTTTCTTTCTCTTTCTGAGTAAGTTTTATGATCCTTTGTGTTTCTGTTGTCACAGGAGGTAGTCAACTCCGGGTGCAGGGTGATGGAACAGGACAATTTAGTCACTACAAAAACAACGATGCCATATATTTCTGATATCAGCAATACATTTTGACTTGTCGATGACAGTCCTTGGCTTGCCTAGATATCCTTGAGTTCCAGGGAGGGGCAATGCTTGGTTGAGTCCGTGCGCGTAATTCCAATGTTGTTTACACTTGTGTGTGTTGCCAGATCTGCAGTTGTGCTGGGCCCTGGCTTTACTCATCTTCCTGGGCCAATCATCCCAAGAGACAGTAAAAGCTTTGTGCCCCAAACTGAAAGGAGACCTCAAGGTTTGCCTGATATTAAAGTTTGATGGGATAAATATGCCTTGCAGATATGACTGGATGGAAAGAAAGGTTATGAAAGTACTTAGCAGTTTAGACTAAGCTAAAGAAAGATTCTGGATTTCACCTGTGAGTGGAAGTAGATATTGACTACTGCAGAAAGATTCTCTTGGCTTTGCTGAGGGCCATGCAGAGGGATAAATGCCTCTAGGTGCAGATAGATAAATGCCTCTAGATCTAGAGAAATGCCTCATTTATCTATGTTAGAATAGGATAGAAGGAGAGGAAATTTGGAGGTAGAAGGGAAAATCAGATGAGTTGAGCAGATAATGGAATAGTTTCAAACCAGATAGCAGGTACTTTTTATGGTACAGTTTCCATTAACATCTGGTAAACCAAATAGACCCCATCTCAGAATAATGTTTTAAATGCATAAAATAAAATGCACAGGATTATAGAGGAAATCAATCATATTGAAATGCAGGTATCAAAATATTTTAAATAAATTGTAATGTCGTAGTTTGGTTCTTATTTATGCATTACGTAACCAGATCTAGAGGTAGATCTATTACCACCAAATTTCAAAGTAATGGTGAGCATAAACTTTTCAATATATCTTCAGTAGCTGTGACATGAAAATGTCTGTGGTTTATTGTCTACATTCATAACTGAAGAAATACTAAATTTCCATTAGAGGTAAAAATGAAAATAAGGATGGAGGATTATTTTCACCCTGGTTTATGGACCCCTTAATCCTACATGTGGACCCAGGTGAAGAACTCTTGCTTTATAGCTGGGCATGCTGGCACACACTTGTGGCCCTAGCTACTTGGGAGGCTGAGGTAGGAGAATCGCTTGAACTTGGGAGGTGGAGTTTGCAGTGAGTCGAGATTGTGCCTCTGCACTTTAGCCTTGGCAACAGAGTGAGATTTCATCTAAAAAAAAAAAAAAAACTCTTGCTTTAGAGAGACTGGATGGAGTTACTGCAGAAACCAGAATGTCTAGGGAGATTGGGGAACTCAACCAAGCTGTACTTGGTGTGACTGGGACTATGGCTAAAGAATTAAAAGGAAAGAATGCGGTATTCAGCACAAAGAGGTTAATACTCATTGGTTGAGTTGAATTGCACTCATGTCTCTAGGGACATATGATAGTGTGAGGTAGGAGTCAGACCTGGAGCCTACAGATGTTACTAGGACCACTTGCCGGGTGATGGATGCCTGCCAGACTGGGTTGGCAGGTGTTGATGAATAGGTGCATTGGTGGTATCCTTGGGGACTGGTGTGTTTCTGTTCGGTTAAGTTGTCTGAGTGTGACTCTCAAGTGTATGTGCTGTGTGTATTTGAACTGTATGTTCGCCACATATATAGGAGGAAACTGGGTTGACACTGTGCAATAATTCATAGAATTGCAAGTTCTCTTTTTTTTGGTAAGCAGGCTAGAAGGCCTGGGGAAGGAAAGCAGTAATCAAGGCTCAAAAGGGGAAGCTGAAAGCTTTTCCCTAACCCATTTAAACAATTACCTAAACTGGGTTATAGATTTACGTCTTCTAAATTCTGACTCATCCGAAGCACTAATTTAGTGTAGAAGCACAGTTTTTATGTGAAGAATACATAAACCAGGAAGTTACTTGAAAAAGCTTTGGAAGTCTGCTACTTGTCCTTACAAATATAGTGGGGAAATGAAAGAAATTATTAAAATAATGATCAATTAGTCAATTACATTGCTTAGCAAACGTATACTTTGTCCCAATTTTTTTCAATAAAAATAAGGACTGAACAATCCTGATAGAAAATGGCGCTATATGAGGTTAATGTCCTGGGTAAATAAGTTCCTGGACTTCGCAGTTAGCTTTGTCTGCTTGATCTATCTCCCCAACCGTAACTAGCTGCCCTACAAATAAGGGCCGTTAATAGGGGAGGGTTTGGGGGAAAGGCTGTCTGTGTTATTGAGATTGCATTCATGAAAAATAAAAAAGATTCCACTTAGTGTGGATGGAAGCTATCTTAGCCTCCAAGCATATAGGGTTTTTGAATGTGCAAGGAGAAAGAAGCTGCTTGTTATGTTGGCTCTTCCCGCGGTAGGTTTTGTATAAGGTAGCATTATTTGAAATTGCTGTTTTTTTGATATCAAAAATGATCAAGTATGGGCCATTTCATATGGTTCAACCTAATAGTTTTCATTCAAGTAGTACTGCAATGGTAAATTTGACAATTCCAGTGATATTTTTAAAGAAAACCAATACTATCAAGGAATTTTTAGTGTTTTGAAAGCATGATTCCAATGTTAGTATATCAGTGCCTGTGTACTCATCAGCCAACAAGAATGTGAGCTGCTATTCAAAAGTAGCTAACCCTCTGTCTGTTCAAAGAGAAAGCAAGAGGACAGTCCTCACAGGTGTTTTCCAGAAGGTGCGCGTTATGTTCTTGAAAAAACCCGGAGACTACATTTATAATAAGATGCTTACATTTACTGCCCCAGTGCACAGCCATTTGAGTTGTTCTCTGTCAGTCATGCCACACTATTTCTTTCACTTTGCTGAGAAAGTAGAATGTCTTAGTCTGTTTGGGGTGTTATAGCAAAAGTAACATAAACTGGGGGACTTGTAAACAACAGACATTTAGATCAGGAGGCTGGGAAGTCCAAGGTCAAGGCACTGGCGGGGTGTAGGTGAGGCCCTGTCCCTCGTAAACAGTACTTTAACTGTGTCCTCATGGGGCAGAAGGGCCTAGTGAGCTTCCCGGACTCTGTTATAAGGGCACTAATCCCACTCATGAGAGCAGAGCCCTCATGCCCTAACCACTTTACAAAGGCCCCACCTCCTAACACCATCGCCTTGGGAATTTAGGAAGACACAGACATTGAGACTACAGCACAGCCCCCTCCCAGTCATGGCTCTGCTAGACATTACTTCATTCATCCTCCTCTCTGGCTTCGCCCATTCTCTACCTTACCCCTTCCTACCACTTTTTACCTAGCTACTCTTTCTAGCTGCCATCTCAGTCTTCTTTTTCCCTTCTCCACGAAACTCCTGGAAGTTTATACTTCCTGCAGTCACTTCTTACCCTGAAAAACTGCTGCTCCTGCTTTATTGAAACCTCTTTTGCAAAGATCTTCGTGGACTCCTCTTCATCAAGCTAACAGGACACTCCTCTGCCTTCAGAGTTCCCAGCCTCTTGGCAGCCTTTGGCGTGCTGACAAGCCCTTTCCTCTTGGAATATTCTTCCTCCCTTGGTTTCCAAGCTGCTGTGTCCTAGTTGTCCTCCGTCTATCTAACTCTTCCCTGTGGGTTTTGTTCCTCATCCCATCGCTTAAGGAGAGATTCCCCAGTCATCTCTCCTTAGCCCTCTTCCTTCTGTTCCCTAACACTTCCCAATACTTGCATGTTACTGACCTAATTCACCTCTAACAGCTCAGAACTCTCCCTGGTTACAAACAGACACTTCCAGGAACACGCAGGAAACAGTGGAGACCGCCATGGATTTGGCATTTGCACATCTATTATTGAGTTCAAGTCTGGCTCAAACCCTCGGAGTTTTTAACCTAACTAAATATGGGAATATCACAGGGTTTCGAAAGGATTTGATTGTAAATATTTTCAAAGGGTTCAATAGACCTCAACCCTTTGAAAATATTTATAATTTATATACAAATATATATATTTAAATATTATTTCCAAATGTTTTCTGGATATCCTTCCTGTCTATTCCATGGTTTTGAAATTTAGTGTTTCTCAAATTAAATGCATTCTATTTGCACCCACCCTTATATACACAACAGTAACTCTTCCTGATAAGTGTATTCATAGCCTCAGCATTCTCGTCAGCCTTATCAAACCCATGATCTTTTATTTCTTCCTGACTCTCAGCTTGCCATTTAACCGAAAACTCTACAGATTTTGTCTCCACAGTGACTAACTCACAGTACCTTTATTTTTATTCCTATTGCTTTTGTCGCCCGTGTCCTGAACTACTGTAATTACCCGATGTCTATTTCTCACTTCCATCCTCCTACACACAAACTGTTACGTTCATTTTCCTGAGACCTTTCAAAGACTTTCAGTGATTCCCCATTGTCTAATGAATCAAGTTCAAACTTTTAAATGTGATAGTCAAGTCTTTTACGCTCTGGACCCAAAGTTACTATCCAGTTTTACCTCTTTCTATGAATTTTCATGCAGCCCTCCCCCATCCAGTTGATTACTCCTTATTTTTGAACAAGTCTTGATTCCTACTCAGAGAGTCTTGCCATGAAATCTCCTCCACCTAAAATGCCCTGTCTCCCCACTTATCTTGTCATAATCTTTCCAATTCTCCAAAATCCATTTCTAATACCATCTCTTATGCCATCTCCATAAACCTATTTCCCTCCCTTCAAAATGTAGTCCCTCCTTTCTTCAAATTTTTTGAAGCACTTTTATTATATGTTTTCCACAGAGAAGATTCCTGCCCACTTGACTGGATTATAAAATCCAGAAATCAGAAACTCGCCTAAATTCGTCTTCATAGCTTAGTCCCTCAAGCATGAGAAATACTGTAAGTTGTTGAATAAATATTTATTGAATTGGCAAACAAAGCAGTAGAAAAAGAAGTGCTAGTTTTCACAATAAAAATTTTCAAATGTGGTACCCGTCTTGCAGAAAAGTGATGGGAAATGTTGGAGAAGTGTTGCCTAGCCACCAAAAATAACATCATTTCTAGAAACATGACTTGATATAAGTAAGTAGGTTAGTGGTACTTCAAAAGCCACATTGAAAAACATTTTTATTGTGAAATACAACATAAGAAAACCTTAATAAAACATTTTTATTTTTTATTATTTCAGTTTAACAAATAAGTAAAAAGTAAAATCTACAGAATCTCTACCCAGGACAAGAAATAGAATATTGTCAAGACCCTGGAAGCACCCACCCAGCCCGCGGTGTTCCCCATCAAATCACAAATGCTCCGCACATGCAATCACTTTCCTGCCTTTCATTATAACCACTTCCTAGCTTGCTTTTTTTTTTTTTTTTGAGATAGAGTTGCCCAGGGTGGAGTGCAGTGATGCAATCTCAGCTCACTGCAACTTCTGCCTCCCAGGTTCAAGTGATTCTCTTGCCTCAGTCTCCAGAATAGCTGGGATTACGGGTTCTTGCCACCACACCTGGCTAATTTTGTATTTTTAGGAGAGACAGGGTTTCCCCCATGTTGGCCAGGCTGGTCTTGAACTCCTGGTCTCAAGTGATCTGCCCGCCTAGGCCTCCCAAAGTTCTGGGATTACAGGCATGAGCCATCTGGCCTCGTCATCTCCTAGATTTTTGCTAATGATTGTACCCCTTATGTGTGCATCACTAAACAATACAGTGTGGTTTTACCTGTTTCCAAACTTCATAAACGGTAGGCTCATTCCGTGTATAGTCAAAAGGATTCAGAAGTGTTTTTGTATCTTTCATTAAACATAGCCATTCGTGGTACTGCAAATAGTTGTAATTGTTGATTTTTATTTCTACATAACGTTCTACTTCATGACTGTACCACAATTTATCCAGTCTACTGCTGATGGACATATGGGTTGTCTCTTGTGTGGGGCTTTAATGAGCAGTGTAGCTGTGCATATTCTTTCACACATAGCCTGGTGCACACATTTCTCTAAGATGGCACTGCTGAAAAGTGTTTTAAACTGCCACTCTAGTATAACCTGTTGGCAAGTAACAATTTAAATTTGTCTAAGACGGTCTAACTTCTAGTCCTAGATTCTTATTACAAAAACAGCATGATATAAATATGTCATATTAATTCGGACTTGTGAATAAATTAGTGTATTCTAAATTATTATAGAGGCTGGGTGCAGTGTCTTACACTTGTAATCCCAGCACTTTGGGAGGCTGAGGCAGGCACATCACGTGAGGTCAGGAGTTCAAGACCAGCCTGGCCAACATGGTGAAACCCCGTCTCCACTAAGAATACAAAACCTAGCTGGGCGTGGTGGCCCATGCCTGTAATCCCAGCTACTCAGGAGGCTGAAATAAGAGAATCACTTGAACCTGGGAGGCAAAGGTTGCAATGAGCCAAGATTGCACCATAGCACTCCAGCCAGGGTGACAGAGGAAGACCATCTCTCTCTCTCTCTCTCTCTCTCTCTCTCTCTCTCTCTCTCCCTCTCTCTCTCTCTCCATATATACACACACACACACACACACACACACACACACATATATTATATACATATAGAGAGTAATATATAACTAGATTATATATATAATTAGTAATATGTATTACTATATATTACTAATCATAATATAATTATAATAGGTTGCTAATAGCAACAGCATTAAATATATATTACTCTCTATATATTATAATTGATATATAGAAATTACTAATTATAATCTATAGATATATAGAGAGTTATATATATATTACAACAGCATTCAATATAATATTTATATATATAAAACTAGAAACGTGTGGTTGGCTGACTGGTTGGCTGGGTGTTGCTGGTTTTCCAGTTTTAGATTGAGCATATGTATATATATATATATATATATATATGTGCAATATATGCACCTGACTGCATCAGGTGACCACTTACCTTTTCTGCCCTTTTGCCCTTTTTCTGTAGTTCCCTTCTATCCCTTAGAACTATGTTCATTTCATCCCAGATTCTTATACTCAGCCTTATCATGTTCTCTGTTATGTCCACTTTCCTTACCTTTTTTTTCCACTCTAGTTAAAGCAGGAAGAGCTGCAGGACAAACCTCTCAGACACCAAACTGGGAAGGAAGGGGCCATTGATTCGGCCCAGAGCAAGGCGGCATAGTTGCCTAACAGCCGAGCTCCTCTAACAAAGTCGCTGCCCTTTTAAAGGCTTACAACTGGGCCGGGCGCGGTGGCTCACGCCTGTAATCCCAGCACTTTGGGAGGCCGAGGCGGGTGGATCACGAGTTCAAGAGATCGAGACCATCCTGGTCAACATGGTGAAACCCTGTCTCTATTAAAAATACAAAAAATTAGCTGGGCATGGTGGCGTGTGCCTGTAATCCCAGCTACTCAGGAGGCTGAGGCAAGAGAATTGCCTGAACCCAGGAGGTGGAGGTTGCAGTGAGCCGAGATCACGCCATTGCACTCCAGCCTGGGTAACAAGAGCGAAACTCCGTCTCAATATAAATAAATAATAAATAAATAAAGGCTTCCAACTCTAAAATTACATGTGAAAGGGTCTTGATCCATGAAGTAGGCGTGGGTGGAGGTTTGATCCAGTTTACCTAGAAACAGTGCCTTCTGGGAGATTCCTCCCTATGGTATCCATGATCTATAGATGGGATCGTGGTTAGCAGTAGGGGTCTTATCCTTAACCGGGCTGGTGGCGCCAACTGGTCCCTCCTCTGGCTAACGTCTAACTTCTTTTGAGATGCAAGGTAGAAGGCTGAAGGTGATTAAGGGTCTCCTTCCTAGTCTCCGTTACTGTTGTCCCTGCGGAGTCACGAAGTGCAGCAGAGGTTATGCTTCTTCCACATCTTCTTATGAACTCTGTTCGGTGAACTCCTCCCTCTCTGGCCCTTCGATGTCTTCCAATCCTGTCTTCCCTTTCACTGTCCCCGGGGCCCCTAGGGCAATAACTTGCCCCCCTTGTGGCGTGTCTGTCCTTTGTCTGCGTTCTTTCTGGAACACAAAATGAACTAGCCTTTCATGTCAATCATAGTATGTAAAGATATGCTTTTCGATTTCTGAAAAATACTTGATTAAAAAAATTTATCAAATGAAATATTACCATTAATCATGTTTCTTTCCTTTAGCCCTAATACTTAAGAATAGTTCCAATAGAAGACATTCCCTAGTTGTCCCAACAGAAAACTTTTGGTCAGAAAAAAGCTAAAATAAATTCCGATCCCAGAACCTGCTGGATTTTACAGCCATCTATGAGGAGGTTTTTCAGTAAAACTATAGTGGCTCTTTAAGAAGTGACAACACAAAACCAGAAAACCCTCCGCAGAACAGAAGGAAGTGCTGCTGCCTCTTCAGATGCTAATTTTGGCTAGTCTTGCAACAGACCTGGCCAGGAGCTACAGACAGTTCCAACCAACCAGCTAGGAAAATCGTGGCACCAAGGGCAGAGCCCTGACTTTGCAGCTCCAGCAACTACTTTGCTGGAAACTGCCCAATGACAGGTACCCTGGAATTTGAGGCTTGAGGAGGTATATGCCAAATTTTCCCATAAAATAATGTAAAGGGTGCATTATCATACATTTATTTGCTTTAAAATAAGTACCCTTTGATAAGCAGATGGTTTATAGAAATGGTCATGTTACTTTGATGAAGTTAAAACGTTTTATTGTGAGACAGAGTCTCGCTCTGTCGCCAGGCACCAGGCTGGAGTGCAGTGGCGCGATCTCGGCTCACTGCAACCTCCACCTCCCGGGTTCAAGCAATTCTCTGCCTCAGCCTCCCGAGTAGCTGGGACTACAGGCACATGCCACCACACCCAGCTAATTTTTGTATTTTTTTTTAGTAGAGACGGGATTTCACCATGTTGGCCAGGATGGTCTCAATCCCGCATTGGCCTCCCAAAGTGCTTAGATTACAGGCATGAGCCACCGTGCCCGGCCAAAACTTTTTTTTTAAGGGACTGAAGATTACTATGGAAGTTAAAGTTATAAAAGAACAATTAACTCATCAAGCGACTCCACTGCTGCTCAGCCTGAAGAAGATGTTGAACATTTGAGTTGATTATAGCTAATAACCTGCGATCTCCTTTACCAGAATTGTAATACAGGGAAACACATAATGTGGTATACCGGGAACTGGAGCACTAATCTCCTTTTATTCCCCTTTCTTTCTTCTACTTGCAAGCTGAGCTCAGCCTTGGCCAGAGAGAAGTAACAGTTCAGAAAGGACCACTGTTTAGAGCTGAAGGTTACCCAATCAGCATTGGCTGCAATGGGACTGGCCACCAGGGACCTCGTGAGCAGCATTTCCAGTGGTCTGTTTACCTGCCAACAAACCCGACCCAGGAAGTCCAGATCATTAGCACCAAGGATACTGGCTTCTCTTACGCAGTTTATACGCAGCGGGTGCGAAGTGGAGACATCTACGTGGAGAGGGTCCAGGGCAACTCAGTCTTGTTGCACATCTCAAAGCTCCAGGTGAAGGATGCTGGCGAGTATGAGTGTCACACACCGAACACTGATGAGAAATACTACGGGAGTTACAGTGCAAAGACTAGTCTAATTGGTAAGCTGCTTGTCCACTTCTGCTAGCCAGCCCTGAGAAGCCAGAGTCTCTGTCATCACAATGTCTTGCAATATGACATGACTTTACATGGTTCCATTTTCTTTGAGAAAAGAGCCCACGTACCCCTGTGGCTATTTTGGAGATATATCACAAGTGGGTATCTCATGTTCTCTAAAATCATCTGTTTCTTTTTCTCAGTTATCTTTGCCATAAAGATTTAGATGGCCTTCAGCAAGGCCTTCTCCACAGCTATCCATAGGTTGCTAATAGCAACAGCATTCAACAAAGCTGTGAGAGTTCTTGTGTTGTCTCTGCTTGGAGTGAGAACAGTAATTTGACAAGAGAACTGGTATCTTAGGTGATAAGTCATTAACTTAGAAATGATTATTCTCAAATTACCATTCTCTAGCATGTTTACATATTGGGAAAGGGTCATAGTCCTTGCAATTGTCACTTTATCCCTTTGTCTGGAATATCTATCATCCCCTTTTCAGCTTAGCAAACTCCTACATATACTTCAGGACCCAGTTTAGATATTGCCCCTTCTGTGGAACTCATCTTGACTGCTTGGGCAGAATTCTCACTTTTGTTTCCTTTAGGTCGTCTGTTCATACCGCTGCTATCAGCATGCATCCAGTTAGATGGTACCTGGCTATTTGTATGCCTCTCTCCCACCACATCCTCAGCTTCTACTCAGTGGCCAGCACTGAGCAGATGCTCTGTCACATTCATTGATTAAATGCAAGTGTTGCTTCTACATAAGCTTAGAAATGTGATTTCATTCTAGGAAAACAAGAATGGCAGGGTAATAAGATAGTTACCAACACTTTAGTAAAGATTGCTTTCCAGCTCTAACTGATCATTTTAACAGATTATTACAGAGCCTTAGAGAGGAACAGGTTAAGGCCAAGAGAGGTGATGTGACATCCCCAAGTCCACGTAGTAGGGATGGATTTGGGATCAGAATCTAAGGTTTCTCCGTCCCAGTGCTTTCTCCCTTCAAAGACATGCTCTGTGTCTGAGGAGCTAAATTGGTTACAGCTTATGCTACTGAAGCAAAGTGAGGGTCAACACGTCGGTGAGACATTTGCTTTGCCAAGTTCCGTAGACTGTACATAGATGCCAATGTTCCCATTGGCAACAGAAGAAGCATATGGATAGGAAAGCATATGGAGAGGCAGAAAACTCAAAGTCTGCGTGCTTTACATATGGCGGCTCAGGGTGCCATTTTCACCTACAGAGGCCCACTGGACAAGCAGTGGGCAGGCCATCTTATTATCATTCCTTTCTTTCCAGTTATTCCAGATTCGCTCTCTGCCACCATGAGTTCTCAGACTCTCAGTAAGGAAGAAGGTGAGCCATTAACCCTCACGTGTGAGGCATCCAAAGCCACAGCCCAACATACACACCTCTCTGTCACCTGGTACCTAATGCAGGACGGAGGAGGAAGCCAAGCCACAGAGATTATTTCTCTCTCCAGAGATTTTATATTGGTCCCTGGGCCCTTGTATACAGAGAGGTTTGCAGCCAGTGACGTTCGGCTCAGCAAGCTGGGGGCCTCTACGTTCAGGATGTCCATAGAGAGGCTCCAGCCCTCAGATCAGGGCCAGCTGTTCTGTGAGGCGACGGAATGGATCCAGGATCCAAATGAAACCTGGATGTCCATCACAAAAAAGCAGACAGATCGAACCACTCTGAGGATCCAGCCAGCAGGTAATCATCTTCCTAGGAAATTCACTGATACAGTAGTATTAGGTAGTGGGGATTTATGAAATACCTTTTAATTTTTGTTCTAATGTTTCTTTGGCTCTAAAAAAAAATGGGCTAGAAAGTTTGATTTGATTTTGCATTTTTGTCATCTGAGAAGCATAGCTAAGAGGGAGGATATTCAGTTTTGGCTCTGCCCACAGATCCTTTGTGAGATAAGGTCTACTCCATGGTTAGATCGGCTCCACAAGCCCGTCATGGAAGTAGTCTGGTTACCGTTTCTGCAGCCTCTGTGTTTGCACATTAGCTAATTTAGTTCTAACAACCACCCTGTGAGGCAAGAAGTTGAGTCCCCATTTTAAAAATGAGGACTCTAAGCCTCAGACATGCTAGATGTGCTGCCTAAGCCCACCCAGCTGGTGAGAGCAGGGCTGGTATTCAAAGAGAGGCCCGTGTCTCTCCAAAGCCCACTCACCACAGGCAGCTGGGCCTCAAAGTAGCTCCAGTTTCCAACATGAAGCCTTGTCTTCATCAGCGATGGGATTTCCTTCCACCTGTCCCCTTTCCCAATTTGGACTGCAATCACTTTCTTTTTTTCTTATTTTTTGATTTAAAAAAAATTTTTTAAGAGACAGGATCTTGTTATGTTGCCCAGGCTGGCCTTGAACTCCTGGGCTCAAGCACTCTTCCCACTTCAGCCTCCCAAAGGGCTGGGATTTCAGGCATGAGCCGCCACACCCAGCCTGCTGTCACTTCTCATAATCCTTTGGCATTTTCGTCAAAGCAAGTAGAAAGGCCTTGTCTGTGATTCCCGGTCTCTCTCTATAGGCTTTTGTTGAACAGGAGGGGGTTGCTAAGCCATTGCTAAATGGTACCGTATACCCATTGCTAAGAGCAATGACCCAATGGTGAATCATTAAAGTTTTCTCTTTATTAAAAAGAGCGATCTTGTGTTCTACCTAAAGTTGTCCCACTGGCCTCAAGTATCCAAGTTACATCCATGAGTCCTCTGGAGCCATGTCACAGTGTTTTCTAACTTGAGAAAATTCTACTGGATATTCTTAGAAAAAGAGAGTAAGGAATCATAATATACAGCAATTCTGTGTAAAATATTTAATTTAATTTATACAGTATTTAATTCAGTATACAGCATTTTGTTTATTTTATTTTGTTTTCTGGAGACAGAGTTTTGCTCTTGCTGCCCAAGCTGGAGCACAGTGGCTCACTGCAACCCCTGCCTCCAGGATTCAAGTAATTTTCCTGCCTCAGCCTCCCTAGAAGCTGGGATTACCGGCACGCGTCATCACATTCAGCTAATTTTTTGTGTTTTTAGTTGAGACAGGGTTTCACTATGTTAGCCAGACTGGTCTTGAACTCCTGACCTCAGGCTATCCACCCACCTTGGCCTCCCAAAGTGCTTACAGGCGTGAGCCACTGCGCCCAATTCCAATATTTTATTCTTTGATTTAAAAAGCATGCATTACTATATGCCTCATACACCGTGCATACATCTTGCTTACTAGGAGTGCATTCAGAAAACCATGGGTACTGTCGTTGCTGGGTGATTTAAGGAAGAGTCATGAGGATATTTTACTCTAACGATTTTTTTTTTTTTTTTTTTTTTTTGGTTTACTTACCACTATAGAACTGAGCTCCCGCATAAAATGTGATCCCCTGTAGTGTCCTTACAGGGGGTGTCATCTGTCTCTGGTACTGAAAGGACAGACAGTGGGCTCTCTAAATACCTGCCTTGTTTTTGTTTCCCAGTGAAAGATTTTCAAGTCAACATTACAGCTGACAGCTTGTTTGCTGAAGGGAAACCCTTAGAACTGGTTTGCCTGGTTGTAGGCAGTGGCCGTGACCCACAGCTTCAAGGCATTTGGTTCTTCAATGGGACTGAAATGGCTCACATCGATGCTGGTGGAGTCCTGGGCCTCAAGAATGACTACAAACGAAGAACAAGTCAAGGAGAGCTCCAGGTTTCAAAGTTAGGCCCCAAGACTTTCTCTCTCAAGATCTTCTCTCCGGGCCCAGAGGATGAAGGCGCCTACAGATGTGTGGTAGCAGAGGTCGTGAGAACACGCACAGGTTCCTGGCGGGTGCTTCAGAGAAAGCAGTCACCAGACAGCCACATGCGCCTGAAGAAGCCAGCAGGTATGTGAAGTCAAGACCAGGCATGCTTTGGGCTGCTTTCAGATCCCCTCTTGTCCGTAGACGACGCCTTCGTGGACACAGTAGGAATCTTTGTGAAGAGCAGGTTTCAGTCAGATCACATCGGAGGTGGAGTGGAGTGGAGTAAAGGAAGGCACCCAAACTGGCTGGAGACCCGAGTCCTAGGCGAGCTGCGACCATGAACACACCACTTTATGTCTCTAAGTCTCGGCTTCCTCATCTGTAAAATGATGGCACACAACTAGATGGTCTCTAAGTTCCTTCTTGCCGTCTTAGAGTCTATTTATTGTTTGTTCTAATTTTTATATATTAGATATTTCTTAAAGCAGAGAACATCTGCATTAATGAAGCTCTCTGCCTTCGTGTGTGTGTGTGTGTGTGTGTGTGTGTGTGATAGAGAGCAAGAGTGAGAGAGAGAGAGACACACACACTGGTTAAGAGTAAAAAGCTACACTTTGTCCTCCTTCCTGGGCCCTCTGCCTTCGTGTGTGTGTGTGTGTGTGTGTGTGTGTGAGAGAGAGAGAGAGAGAGAGAGAGAGAGAGAGAGAGAGAGACAGAGAGAGAGACGGAGAGCAAGACAGAAAAAGAGAGAGAGAGAGGGAGAGACACAGCTTAAGAGTAAAAAGCTACACTGTCCTCCTTCCTGGGCTCTCTGCCTTCGTGTGTGTGTGTGTGTGTGTGTGTGTGTGTGTGTGTGATAGAGAGCAAGAGTGAGAGAGAGAGAGACACACACACACTGGTTAAGAATAAAAAGCTATACTTTGTCCTCCTTCCTGGGCCCTCTGCCTTCGTGTGTGTGTGTGTGTGTGTGTGTGTGAGAGAGAGAGAGAGAGACAGAGAGCAAGACCGAAAAAGAGAGAGAGAGGGAGAGACACAGCTTAAGAGTAAAAAGCTACACTGTCCTCCTTCCTGGGGAATGAACACCCATGTTATCCTACCTCGAGACTTGGCTGGCATTTTTCAGTTGCCTTCTGTTAATCCCCTACTGTGTTAACCTGGTGTGGGAAATAGTACTTAGTCACAATTCAGACTCACAGTTAAGAAACGAAAAGGTAATTGATAGTGGGCAGACTCCATCCTCTGCATTTTGCTGTGCTGAGACTCCGGTCTTAATGGTTCTGGGTGTCTGCATGTACAGATCTGAGGAAGCCACTCAGCTCACCTTTAATTCATGAGGGTTGGGTGACCTTAAACATGTTTGAATAATCAATGCCTTTTGTGTGGCGAAAACCAGACAAATCTATAATAATATAAGGATTCACTAGGCTGGGTTTAAATTCAAAGTCCAGAAAGATTAATTGCCCAAAAGCAACAACAACAACAAAATTTAATATTTAAAAATTTTTAAAACTGAGCTAAAAATAAAGATGTCCTTGTTGGAGACATCTCCAAACGACGTGTCCTTTCCGTTTCTCCAAAAAGCCGCTTCCTGGGAATGAAGATGCACAGCGTGGCCTTGACTGGCAGCCCAGGAAGTGTGTTGGTGTTTGTCTTCACACTAAACATTTGGTCTGACTTTCTAGAGTTAAGGAAAAACAATATAGGTAGGTTTAAATATTTATGCAGAGATAAATCTCTGCTTTATGCATCTCAGTCTTCTCTAGAACATAGCTGCAGGCTTTTGTAAACCTGGCATGTGGGATTTCACCCAAAGGTGTACTTCAGGGTACACAGCTGATCATCCTATCAATAAGGTTGTCTTCCAAAACTGAAACGAGTTCTTTGTACAGGCTAGAGTCTACACTGGGCTTACTGTGTAGAGCCAGGAAAAGTTCTTAGCAAATTCATAAATGCTGTTTGGCATTCTGCTTTCAGAGTCAAACATTACCTGAAGTATTAACAACATTTTATTACTTGTGAATATTTTAATCACCCATTACCGCTGTGAATGTGTAACTTACACGCATTTTGTAAGTTTGTTACCTCTTACCAAAAGGCAGTAATGACCGCAATGAACTAAGGAAACCCCATTTTTAAAAAATGAGGTTACTTTAAACCAATCACCATGGTTATGTTAAAGTGGTGAGAATATGAGTAATAATTTATCCTCCAATTTCTAAACTTCAGTTATGAGTCTGTTTTTAACTTGAAAAAAATTAAATTTGAAAGCAGATTTTCTCTTTTTAAGTACACATTTATGGACATTAACCTTCATTCTGCCTTTGTTCCTGATGTGTATGTATGCATGTAACAGTCCAACACTGAACTCCTTCCTCCGCAGGAAAGAACAATTTGCAAATTAGTTTAGATCCGATTTAGATGTCTAATGCCGGTTCTATTTCATTTTCCGCTTTTGCTTTGAATTGCCTCTGCTTTCGCCAGTGCCTATCATCGAACACTAATGCCAGCAGCTAACCTTTTCTAAGCACTTCCCTCGCCATCCAGGCTGAGCGCTTTGCGTGTGCTATTTGTTCAGTCTTCTCAACAGCGCAGCAAGGTGAGCACTATTATTATCTTCATTTTTACAGGATAGAAAACTGAGGCTCAGAGAGGTCAAATATGTTGCCCAGGGCAATTCTGACTAAAGGAGCAGTGGCCTTAAATTAGTGCTGGGCTGTCTCGGATGTACGATCTCCTGCTGTGTCTCTACACTGCTCACAAAGCAACCAGGACCAGACCTTGCAGAATGAATGGTTGTTGAATGAGTGTGTTTGTTGAATGATGACTTGGATTGCCCATCTGGGAACCAGATTTACATTTATGGTTTTGCACTGTAGTTTAGACATAAGAAGCCTCTCTGTCTACAACAATGTGTGTGTGTGTTTGTATGTATGTATATGTATATATGTATGTACATGTATATATGTATTATGTATATATATATATATATGTATTTTTCTCTTAAAAAACAAGCAATTGTTTTTTATGGTAGTATTGTGAACAGAGATATAATTAACAATGTTTCTTCTTTGTTCAAAACACATACTAAACCAATTAGATTGATTAGAGAAAGATAAGGAAGAGGAAGATCATTTTGAACTCTGAAGGTCCAAATTCTAAAAAACTAAAAATTGAAGTAAACACAGCTTTATTACTTTCAGGTTTTTGTATATACCCTAATTAATATAATAAAATGTTACCAGATGTTTGGCCAACTAGATATTCTTAAGGAAGAGCTGATTTAACAAACTAATAAAAAAATATGTGCAAGTGATAAATTGTTTAAGTAAGCTGAGTGCAGTGGCTCACGCCTGTAATCCCAGCCCTTTGAGAGGCTGAGGCAGAAGGATTGCTTGAGGCCAGAAGTTCAATACCAGCCTGGGTAACAAAGAGAGATCCTATCTCTACAAAAATTTTAAAAATTAGCCAGTGTGGTTGTGGGTGCCTGTAGTCCCAGCTATTGAGGCAGGAGGAAGACTTAAGCCAAGGAGTGTGAGGTTGTCATGAGTTAAGATCACAGTGCTGTGTTCCAGCCCGCACAGCACAGCAAGACCCAGCTTTAGGAATCAATAAATTGTTTAAGGGTAAATACATTCTCCAATACTCTTTCTGCTATCTTGTTTCCACTATTTAAGTGTTTGGCAAATCTTTCACCTGAGCGTGGTGCAAGAGGAAACAGCCTGATTTGACTTGTCACAAACTAGTCAAGTCCTTATTAATGAGATTTCAATGTATTTTAGAAAATTCTTATTTGTCTAAAACAGTTTTTTCTTCTATAATTTGTAACCCACAGCAAGAAGTGTGGTCATGTCTACCAAGAACAAGAAGCAAGTTGTATGGGAAGGAGAGACTCTCACCCTTCTCTGTAAGGCCAGTGGAGCTGAAAGTTCCCTGTCTGTGAGCTGGTGGCACATCCCACGGGACCAGACACAGCCCGAGTTTGTGGCTGGCATGGGGCAGGATGGCATCGTGCAGCTGGGCGCCTCCTATGGGGGACCCAGTTACCATGGCAACACAAGGCTGGAGAAAGTAGACTGGGCCACCTTCCAGCTGGAGATCACCTTCCCTGCCATCACAGACAGTGGCACTTATGAATGTAGAGTATCTGAAAAGTCTCGGAACCAGGCCAGAGATCGGAGCTGGACTGAGAAGATTTCAGTTACCGTAAAGTCTCTGGGTAAGTGTCAGAGAAAATCCTTTCCTGCTCCTGGATATCTGCCGATTCATTCTGCAGTGGAATTGGATTCCGTGTTATCCTGACTCCCCCAGTTATGGCATGTGTACCCTAGGACACAGGGCATAGTCTCTGGTTACCCTCTCTGTCAATTTTTAAAGTTTCTTCATCTTTGTAAAGATCACCTTTAGAGTGTAACTTGTAAATTGTTGTTGGAGGTGAAAAACAAAACTCTATGAATCAGCTTATAGACGAGTACAGCTGAGCCTTATACCTTCTGGTTTCTGACAGCTGCGGCCCTGGGATGGCAGAACCTGTTGGAGCATGTGCAAAAGGGTTCTGACACGGAACCCACGCACGGGGGTAAGGGAAGGAGGCCAGACCGCTGGGGTGGGGAGTGCTCCACCCACTCAGTAGCAGCAGCTGTCTAAGTAGCAGAAACACTGCCTGTTTGTTGTGACTGCTGGGAACAGTCTTAGAAGACGGTCAACTTTGCAAAACTGAGGTCAGAGTTCAGGACAGACTGTACCGTGAATCAACTTCTACTCTGTAAAATACGAAACTCCAAATGGACAAATGCAGGGTCCTACTCAAAGAGTTGGCAACTAGAAGAACTTGAAAGTGCTGTATTTTAATCTGGTAAATATACTAGAAGTTGTGTTTCACTTTTTCGTCTAGAGTCAAGTTTACAAGTTAGTCTGGTGAGCCGTCAGCCGCAAGTGATGTTAACCAATACCTTTGACCTGACCTGCAGAGTGGGGGCCGGTTACTCTGACCTCAAGGTGCCACTCACTGTGACGTGGCAGTTCCAGCCAGCTAGCTCTCACAAATTCCACTGGCTTATTCGAATCACCCACAATGGCACTATTGAATGGGGGGATTTCCCATCCCAGTTCCATAAGAAGACGGAAGTTTCACAGTCTTTATTTCGTTCACAACTCCTAATCCATGATGCCACTGAGGAAGAGACAGGAGTGTATCAGTGTAAAGTGGAAGTTTATGACAGAAATTCCCTACACAACAGCCGCCCCCCGAGGGCTTCTGCCATCTCTAACCCACTGCAGATAGCCGTCACTTTACCAGGTAAGTGTGACTTGAAATTCACCTCTGCTTTAAAAACAAATAGCATTCCTCCCATTTTGGATAAGTTATAAAAATAAAACATAAAACTACCTTCTCCCGTATTTGTTCTGTCTATGTAAGCACCACATGATGAATGATACAGGTTAACATTGAGTCAGCATGCACGGGATGGCCATACGGGCGGTTAAAACATTGAAATGCCTTCCATGTTGGCTCACTGCTGCTCTGTGTCCACTCCCCATTTTCCCATAAGTTCCCACCACCCAGCAACTTAAGGGTACCACGTGGCATAGCAGGGGGCCTCTAGGACCTGGCTCCAGGAGAGAGGCAATGTTTTGGATTGGTCGCTGTCCAGGTCTTACCAGTTTGGAAACATTTGTAATCTCTCTGCTAGTGGTAGGGATACTGTGAATTCCATTGGCATACATCCTATTTATTCGTAAGGTGTTAATGTATAAGAGTCAGGGAATTTATTATTACAGTCAAATATAATCCACCTCCTCACCTGTAATAGGCCACAGGAGTTAAAAGTGAGACGCCACCTAGGCAGAGTTCTGCTGTGTCACGCATCTTCTCTCTCATAGCTTGCATTCTCTTAGGACAGAGTGATGGAGAGACGTTGACGTCATTTAGATCTGACAGTCACTGGGCAGCCAGACAGCTCTGTATGAGCCACTTCATCTGCTCAAGGCCTAGTTACCTGATCTGTAAATTTCAATGTGGTGCCCTATATAACATGCCGAGTACCTGACACACCAAGATGATGCTCGAACGTGGCGCTGTCATTATTCTCTCTGCTGCTCTGCAACATTTTTGGTAATGGTGATTATCCCCCTGTTCATGAGTTCATGCCTTAATCATTCCTCTCTGTGGTATTTGCGATTGCTGACCCAATCTGTCTTCTTGGAATTTCTTTCCTTGGCACCATGACACAAGATTTTCTCCTCTGCTGATTTATTCTTTAAAGAAAACAATTTCTCTGGAATTTATTCTCAGCTGTGCTCTTTTTTCATTCTATACTCTCTCCTGTGGTGGACTCATCCCTGCCTATGGATACAACCTGTATGTTCACAACTCCCAAATTCATTATATTGACCAATTTCTCTCCTGGTCTCCAGACTCATATATCCGACTGTCTCTAAAACATGTCTGCGCTCATTATGTCAAAACATAAACCTACCATTGTTATCCAAAGCTATTCCTTCTACATTGCCCCTTATGTCCCCACGGCCCACCAGTGACCCAAGTTGAAAACCCGATTCATCACAACTCTTACATTCTCCTCGTATCTAAATGCCCATAGTGTGACATGCGAGGTCCTTTATCATCTGGCACATTCGTGTCTTTCCAGCGTCTTCTTCAACTTTCCATCTTGAATTTGAGCCTCAGCCACACTGAATTACCTGCAGCTCCTCAAGAGTGCACGCTCCCTCTCACTTCAAAGTTTTTGTTCAAGTTGCATCTTTTGTGTGGAAATAAATCCTTAACCTCTTCTCCAGAATAATTCCTGTAAACCCTTAAGACTCCGCTCCGAGCTATCTCCTCCAGGAAGTCTCCCCTCACTCCTGTATTTGGGCTAGGAGAACCTGCTGTGTGCTCTGATGGCCACTTCTACATACATCTCTGTCTTACATGGGTGAGATGAGGGACATGAAGAACAACATTTTTACACTGAGGCCAGGCACAGTGGCGCATGCCTGTAATCCCAGCACCTTGGGAGGGGAAAGCAGGCAGATCGCCTGAGATCAGGAGCTCGAGACCAGCCTGGCCAACATTGTGAAACCCTGTCTCTACTGAAAAGACACAAATTAGCCAGGCGTGGTGGCATGCTTCTATAGTCCCAGCTACTCAGGAGGCTGAGGCACAAGAATCACTTGAGCACAGAAGGTGGAGGTTGCAGTGAGCTGAGATCACGCCACTGCACTGCAGCCTGGGTGACAGAACAAGACTCCATCTCAAACAAAACAAAGCATCCAGAAAATTCACACTGAGAAGGTTTCCCAAGACTTTCTTCAGCTGCACGTTCTAAATGTGGAATACGCCAATCAGGGCAACTATCACTGTGCTGTGGTGGAATGGCTCCTGTCTACAGATGGTATTTGGCACCATTTCTAAGCCTCTGTCCCTGTACGTGTCTCCCTGTAGACTGTGAGCCACTAAGGGGAGATACCCACAGGGCCTGGAATTGTCTGTGTACTTCATAAATGTTTGTTGAAGGAAGGAAGAGAACCTACTGGCAACATCAGTACGCAATTAGAAAAGTAGAGTGGGTGATGTGGGCGGGAAGTTAGAAGAAGATTTGGGAACAAGAATTGTCACTCATCTTTCTGATAAAGCAGAAGAGCTGCTGAGGTCAAAGATTCGTTGTCTCCATATGATGTTCCCTCAGTTGAGTGGCTGCAAAGACACACACAGTGTTCATCACCCATGTACGGCTTCCTTTTGTTTACCCACGGTTGAAGGCAGATACAAGTAGGGTTTGGAAACTGAATCCAGAAGTACTCTGTACGGGGAACACACAAACACAGCACTCATGGGGCCACTTTCTCCCCATCCGTTATATGAAGTACAACAGAAGAGATGCTTGTGCTCAAACACTGAAGCATTATCCTGTGGAAGAGAGATGCTGGGCTTGTCTGCGTGACACTCCCTCTGCCACAACACCCCTACCAGGCACAGGTAGAACTGGGACTAGTGGATGGAAGTGATGAAGAGATAAAATTCAGCTTGATGTCAGAAAGCATTCTGTAATGGCAGTCCCAAGGTGCTGGGATTACAGGCATGAGCCACCGTGCCTGGCCTCAGTGTAAAATTTTTGTTCCTCATGTCCCTTATGTCACTTATGTAAGACAGAGAGGTACGTAGAAGTGTCCATCAGAGCACACAGCAGGGTCTCCTAGCCCAAATACAGGAGTGAGGGGAGACTCGCTGGAGGACATAGCTCTGAGCGGAGTCTTAAGGGTTTATAGGAATGATTCTGATGGAGAAGAGGTTAAGGATTTATTTCCACATAAAAGATGCAACTGGAGATGTAACTCGAGACCAGCCTGGCCAACATAGTGAAACCCTGTCTCTGCTGAAAAGACACAAATTAGCCAGGCATGGTGGCGTGCTCCTGTAGTCCCAGCTAGTCAGGAAGCTGAGGCACACGAATCACTTGAGCACAGGAGGTGGGGGTTGCAGTGAGCCGAGATCACACCACTGCACTCCAGCCTGGGTGACAGAGCAAGACTCCATCTCAAAACAAAGCATCCAAAAAATTCACACTGAGAAGGTTTCCCAAGACTTATTTCAGCTGCACGTTCTAAATGTGGAATACGCCGATCTTGTATGCAACTTGAGATGCAACCCAAGGCTTTGAAGAGAGAGGGAACGTGCACTCTTGAGGAGCTGCAAGTCACTCAGTGTGGCTGAGGCTCAAATTCAAGATGGAAAGACACGAATGTGCCAGATGATAAAGGACCTTGCATGTCACACTATGGGATGGCACGGGCTGGCTTGTCAGCTAGCAATGTTGTTCAAAAGCTGAATGACAAGCCTGTGATCCCAGCACTTTGGGAGGCCGAGGCAGGTGGATCACGAGGTCGAGAGATCGAGACCATCCTGGTCAACATGGTGAAACCCCGTCTCTACTAAAAATACAAAAAATTAGCTGGGCATGGTGGCGCGTGCCTGTAGTCCCGGCTACTCGGGAGGCTGAGGCAGGAGAATTGCCTGAACCCAGGAGGCGGAGGTTGCGGTGAGCCGAGATCGCGCCATTGCACTCCAGCCTGGGTAACAAGAGCAAAACTCCATCTCAAAAAAAAAAAAAAAAAGCTGAATGAGCAGTGAGCAGGTGACTGTAGAGCAAGTCACCCATACGATGGCGGGAGGAGGCAGGGTCCTGCTTCACCTCTGACATCTCTACTACCTTCACTTTGTACTTCCTAGCAAAGTAACCGTTTTCATTTTTTAAATGTAGAGAGCAAGCTAAAAGTGAATTCAAGCAGTCGAGTCCAAGAGCTCGCCATCAACTCCAATGCTGATATAGAATGCAGCGTCTTGTCCCGGTCCAACGGAAACCTTCCGTTAGCCATTATTTGGTATTTTTCTCCTATTTCCGCTAATGCCTCCTGGCTGAAGATCCTGGAGATGGACCAAACCAGTGTTATAAAGATCGGGGATGAATTTCACACCCCACGGAGAAAACAAAAATTTCATACTGAGAAGGTTTCCCAAGACTTATTTCAGCTGCATATTCTGAGTGTGGAAGATAGTGATCAGGGCAGATATCACTGTGCTGTGGAGGAATGGCTCCTGTCTACAGATGGCACGTGGCACAAGCTTGGAGAAAAGAAGTCAGGACTGACAGAATTGAAACTCAAGCCCACAGGTAAACCTCGTGAGTGTGTCCTCACAATGTCTTTCTGTCTGGTGGCTGTTTTCTCTCGGGCAGCTGTTTTATGGAGTGATTGATTATGTGGAAGTAAAAATATAACCTAAAGTTATAGGAACAGTGTACCCCTACAAATGACTGCAGAACCGGATAGTCCATCAGACGAAGGAAGGTCACTTAAGGGGATTCAGTCTGGGGTTTTGGGGAGCTCGGATAGGAGCGAAATGCTTTGACTGGTGTGCCTCTCAGCCTGGCAGCCTGGTCCATGCAGCTACCCAGGGTGTCGTATCTCCAGATCTCTATAATAACAAGCTGTGTCATTCCAGTGGGGCTCTACTGTAATTTGGCAAAGAAAGAGTAATACGAAGCATATTTCTCCCACTGTGAACAGAAACTGCACAACTCTATGGGGATGTGTGGAGAAATTGCTTCTCAACATTTAGCTGCCTAAACATAAGGCAAATAAGAGTAGTTAACTGTTGGAATGGCTCACTGAGGGAGTTTCCTCTTCCTCAGGAGATCTTTAAAAATGTAATGGACGTTCCACACTGGTTTAAGAGTGCTGCTGTCTAAACGTGGGCAGGGTTGATTAGGTCACCTCCAGTGTTGATTAAAATTAAATGAACGTCACAGCCCAGGTTCGGGAACTGGATAAGATCCAGCAGCACAATGCAGAGAAGTTGATCTAATTTGGTGCTTACAGTACTATTTTCAAGGTAATGTATAAAAATGAGATGATAATTAAGCATTACGATGCATTAAGCAATGCAGCACAAAGATAAAGAAGGGACGGGCCTGGCCCTTAGGGAGCTCCCAGTCCGCTGGGACCACAAGGGCAAAACAGCAGTTTGGTACGGGGTCTCTTCCTGCCCTCTGGCTTCCCTTCTCTATGTTCTTCCCGCCCCTTCTTCTCCCTGCTAAGTGTGTGCGTTCCTCAGGGATAATCCTGGGCCTGTTTTGCTTCTTCTTCTCTGCTTTCCTCAGAACTGCTTAAACACTGCCCTGGTTTCAACTACCATCTTCTGGATGATAACTCTGAGATGTTGCGCTTAGCCCTGCTCTCCTGAGCTCCAAGCCTTCATACCCAACTGCCTGCTCTACATTTCCACTCGGATGCCGCCATACTCAGCATGCCCTAAATTGCACTTAGCGTCTCTGCCGTCTCACCGTGCTCGTCTGTACTTCTGCATTTCCCATCTGTGTGAATGGCATTCTGTCTCCCAGTCATCCACGCCAAACTCTTGACCGCATGTGCGTGCCCCTCTTCAGGAGGCAGCCACTGCCCAGCTCACGTGTGTCCCATGTGGAAATGTGGGCTTCGTGTTGTCAGATCTTTTTGCATATCTAGAGTTGTCCAAAATCTTCTTTGATGACATTTCCTAGTTTGTCCACAACTAATTTCTTTTTTTTTTTTTTTTTGAGACAGAGTTTCACTCTTGTTGCCCAGGCTGGAGTGCAAAGGCATGATCTCAGCTCATTACAGCCTCTGCCTCCTGGGTTCAAGCGATTCTCCTACCTCAGCCTCCTGAGTAGTTGCGACTACAGGCACGTGCCACCACGGCCAGCTAATTTTTGTATTTTTAGTACAGACGGGGTTTCACCATATTGGTCAGACTGGTCTCCAACTCCTAACCTAACGTTCTGCCCACCTTGGACTCCCAAAGTGCTGGGATTACAGGTGTGAGCCATCGCTCCTGGCCCAGTTCCTTTAAAATGCTGCAAGTGTCAGGCGGAACACACCTGTGGGCTAGGCATGCCTGTGGACTTGCAGCTGTGCACGCCATTTAGGGAACGAGCTATCGAAGAGGCCCCAGAAAGATGCTGAGAATGACTGGTCAGAGTTGTAAGAGGGATATTTTCTCTGAGGTTAGAAGAAAATGGACTCCACTGACAAAACCACAAAGGGGACAGAAAAGGACTAGAGGGAAAAGCACTGGAAAATTGGGCCCTGGCTGAGTGTAGTGATGGGATTGGAAGCCAGATCACAATAAAGTAGAAAGTAATTTGAGGCAAGGAAACAGCAACAGTCTCACATGAGCTAATATTCCACGTGCTTCTCCATGAAGGAGAGGAGAGAGTAGAGAGGGTAACTAAAAGAGAGTCCAAGATCAGACAGAATCATCATCTTAAAGACAGATTGATAAATGTGTTTGGGCCAGGCACAGTGGCTCATGCTTATAATCCCAGCACTTTGGGAGGACAAGGAGGGTGGATCACTTCAGGTCAAGACCAGCCTGGCCAACATGGTGAAATTCCATCTCTACTAAAAATACAAAAAATAGCCAGGCACGATGGTCCATGCCTATAATCCCAGCTACTCGCAGGAGAGTCACTTGAACCCGGGAGACAGAGGCTGAGGTAGGACGAGATTGTGCCATTGCACTCCAGCCTGGGTGGCTGAGTGAGATTCCATCTCAAAATAAATAAAATAAAATAAATAAATAAATATATTTCTGGTGGAATTGAAAATGGAATGCACACTATAATTTCTTTATTTTGTTTGTAACTACTCTGGCCATCATTTTAAATCCTCACCTGCTGGTTAGCAAGGGGAGAAAAAGTAAATGTCAAAATCTGTTTAAAATTTAGTCTAATCCAATCATTTAAATAGTTCCCTTGGATGGTTTTCTAACACTTGCATCAAAATGTTCAGTCTCTCAGATGGCCTCCTCTCTCTCTGCGTCTACACCCAAGATAATATCTGGGTGTATGGGAGGAGAGTAATTTGCTAAGAATGAGGGGTACTGGTGGAATATATGGCTTAAGGGAGCTGCTGAAAGTTGTGATGACCGCTTTGGGGAGTAGAGGAGGAGTGAATGAAGGATAAGTAAAAACAGCAGGCGGAGGGCCCCCCCAGAAGCTTCATGGTTTTCAATGGCAGGATCCAGGAGGCAAGCGGTTGGGCTAAAGAAGGAAAGAGGCTGGTTTGACTCCTAGGAGAGAATGTCCTGGCAAATATGAGAGAAAAAAGGGACCACGGAAAAGAACTAAAATGTATGCAGCCAGGCGTCATGGCTCGTGCCTGTAATCCCAATGCTTTGGTAGGTTGAGGTGGGCAGGTCACTTGAAGCCAGGAGTTCAAGACCAGCCTGGCCAACATGGTGAAACCCTGTCTCTACTAAAAATACAAAAATCAGCTGGCCATGATGGCGCATGCCTGTATTCCCAGCTACTTGGGAGGCTGAGGCAGGAGAATTGCTTGAACCCAGGAGTCAGAGGTTGCGGTGAGCCGAGATCGTGCCATTGCACTCCAGCCTGGGTGACAGAGCAAGACTGTCTCAAAAAATAAAAATAAATAGTAAAATAAATTGAATGCACTGATGTCTAAAGGATATAAACTCTTCCCAGTGAGAACTAGATGTTTTTGAGGTGGTATCCAATCTGAAAGTCTGTGTTCTCTAACTTACTGTCATTTATTTTCTAGGAAGTAAGGTACGTGTTTCCAAAGTGCACTGGACCAAAAATGTGACTGAGCACAGCGAGGTGGCCATCCACTGCAGCCTGGAGAGCGCAGGCAGCTCGGCCGCTCTGTACTCTGTGATGTGGTACTGGAACAGAGAGAATGCTGGAAGTAAAATGCTGGTGAACTTGCAGTATGATGGCTTGCTGGACTATGGGGAAGAGGGGCTCAGGAGGCACCTGCACTGTTACCGTTCATCCCCTACAGACTTTGTCCTGGAGCTTCAGCAGGTGGAGATGGAGGATGCAGGAACGTACTGGTGTAGGGTGGCAGAGTGGCAGCTCCATGGACACCCAAGCAAGTGGGTTAACCAAGCATCTGACGAGTCACAGCGGATGGTGCTCATGGTGCTGCCTTCAGGTAACCAGGGGTTTATCTACTGTGAGCTCATGGTCAGGAGAATATATGGCTCTCCTCTTATGCTCTCCCTCTCAGCTATGTTTTGCTCCTTCTTCAGGCTGAAGGCAACGTTCAGTTTCCCTAAAGAAGATGGCTTTGCCATCTCTCTCAATAGTAGCTCATTTGAACAAACAAGGTCCATGTGAGGTTTTGGCATAGACATTTAAGTATCAGGAGCATTGACCTGTTCTCTCCTTCTCCTCCCGAACAAAAAAGCCATCAACATATGTCTCTTTAAGTAACCAAATAATATATGAAACAGACATCCTTACCCTTGGGCTGACCCTCTAATCTTAGATTGCTGATCGACAGTAGAAGGGGGAACGAGGAAGAGGAGACCTGATTGAACCAAAATCAGCTACATCTAAATGCTTCCTCAGTCAAAAAATAAGAAACAAACAAACCAAACTAAACAAAGAAACAAAAAGGACCCTTGTTCAATGAAAAAGTGCCAACCTCCTATAAGTGCCAATAACTCCTTGTCTTTCAACAAACTACCAGAACTTTGACGATGGTGGTCATTCGGTGTGCCTTGTCTAACTGTGCCTTGAAAGGCATCCAGGGAGGAAGGGTGCCCTAGAAAGTGTGTTTCTAGGCTCCAGCAAGAAGGGCAGCTACTCCAAGACTGTTGGCCAAAGGGTGATCTTTCCAAGGGAGGGTCATCCTCCTCAGCTGAGCACTCATGAGCTGCTTGTTCATAAAAACAAACATTTCTCCAGCTAGACCAGTCAACCTTCCCTGGTGGTCAACGAGCTGGCAGATGTCATAGGCAGCCCATTCTCTCATCCATGTCTTTCTGCTGGGGTTCAGGGAGAAGGCGACAGCTGAGCAATAAGCTAAGCTTCCTAACGGAAAGGGCCATTGGAGAAGTAGGGGTGTGGTCTTGGCACTGGCCACCAGGAAGTGTAAAGGGAAAATCATCAATAAAAGTAATAATCCTAAGACACCAGCTAGCTTTAGTGACACTCCTTAGGAGGGACATAATGCTGTTGAGAACATATGGGAACATCTAAGAACTAGGGATAGCTGCACTCCAGCCCAGCAGGGCTTCTAGACGGGAAGTCGAAGCTATCTGATTCGTTTCTTGAGGTGGCCCATCATTGTCTTCTTCGTCCACTCCTCGGCAGAATCTTTCTCCTGAGTGCCAGGTAAAAATGATTTTTCTATCAGCCCTTTTTTCCCCAACAATTATAGGAACTCCCGTCCTCGTGAGCACATTCCGTTTACGTTTTCCCTCCGGAATTCACAGGCTCTGTAGAATCGGCAGTTTTTTGTGATAGAATAAATAGATAAGAACTGTGAAAAGTATATAGTCTGTGATGAAAAGTGTATTCTCTGAGGCAGATGGGATCCTTCATAGCATACATACTGTTGATCTCTGTGAGATACCTGTAAAACAGGTGCATGGTTTTTAAAAGATAAACCTGGAAAGAAAACATTAAAAATCGAGTGGCCTTTGTGTTCTTCAGAAAGCATCTGTCATGACAAACTGAGGGTTTTTGGTGTAATGAACGCTGAGGATTGAAATCCCTGTAATGTAGCATCTGGGCTCCTCCACTTGGCTGTTCCTTCCTGGTAGTCAGGGAGGCAGTGTGGGGTGATAACAAAAAGTCCTAAGGGCTGGAATCAGACAAGCTTAGGCTCAAATCACAGCTTTACCACCAATACCAGCTAGGAAATCATACTCTGGTTACTTGCTGTGAGCCTCAGCTTTCTATAAAATGAAGCTCATAATATAAACGTGTATAAAGTATCCCATATAGTGCCTGGCACATCATCAGTGCTCGGCAAATGTTATCTCCTTTCGCCCTTATGCTTCCGAACATGCCACACATACATATACACACAGGTATACACATACCTACATGTATACATCTATGTGACAAAATAATGGCACTTGTTTAATAAATAACCATATGAAGTCCTGAAGACACAAAAGTGTGTATGACAGAGTCTGTTCACATGAGCTTAGAGTCCAGTGGGAGTGACCTCTCCACTTTTGAACTCCACTCCACAGTTCAACATCATAGGTGTTTTCAAAGAAGTATTTCCAGTAGACTATGGCAACCGAGGCAGGGCTACGGTGAAGGGGAAGGCAGGGAGGAGATATGGAAGATTCTCCAGGGTGGGGGGCTCATGAAAAGGAAGAAACATATTTTGGAAACATGAAAGAGTATGCAAGATGGTAATAAGATGTAAAATTTCATGTTATATTGGGGGACCTCCTGGTCATTGAGAATGGCAGAAGCTGGAGCCTCTGATACAATGGCAAGAGATGAGACCAGTGAGGTGGGGAAGGTACAGACAGATCCCACATGTTTCTGGAGTATGAAGCTAAGAAGGAAGGACTTTGCCATGACAGTGATGGAGTGTCATTGAAAATGTTTAAGCAGGGGAGTGGCATGGTCAGATTTTCCTTTCAGAAAGTTCCCACATTAAAATGAATTGGAGACTGGGCGCGGTGGCTCACGCCTGTATCCCAGCACTTTGGGAGGCCGAGGCGGGTGGATCACCTGAGGTCAGGAGTTCAGGACCAGCCTGACCAACATGGAGAAACCCCGTCTCTACTAGAAACACAAAAAATTAGCCGGGCATGGTGGTGCATGCCTGCAATCCCAGCTACTCAGGAACTGGAGGTTGCAGTGAGCAGAGGTCATGCTATTGCACTCTAGCCTGAACAAGAGCAAAACTTCGTCTCGAAGAAAAAAACAAAAAAAGAATTGGAGGGGAGGCCAACAGTGTAGGGGGAAGTATATGAAATTGTGAGAACCCAGTTGGGAAAAGGTAAAGGCCTGAGACAAGGAAGTGTCCAGGATGACTAAGAAAAGAACAGGCATTAGGTATTGGGAGGTGTGAACTTCAGGATTTAGAGGCTGATTCAATGTATATAGAGGGCAAATGAGCAGAAAGAGAGAATCAAGGATTGACGTTTGGATTCCGGCTTAGATGGACAGTGGGGCCACTTACCAAGCCAGCTAATACATGAGAGGGGTTTGGAGGGGAACATTAGTTCCGTTTTAAATAAGATAGGCTGGAGTTTAGTTCAGAGTACCTGTGAGTTATTGTGAAAGATCTGTCCAATAGACATCAAGACTTGCAGATGAGATCTGCACTAGAGTTGTAGAGTAGAAGCGACCCATTGGTAGCCAATAATGGTGCCACGGTGGAGCTGCTGTTTCTCAGCGGTGGAGAGCCTGTGAAGGAGGCTGACAGGAGTGACGGACAGCTGGGAAGAGAATCAGGATTTGGTGGTGCCACCGACACTCAAGGCAGAGAGGGTGTCGAGAGGGCGAGGCGAATTGACAGACTCAGCTCTCGCAAAGAGGTCAAGTAAGATAACAGTGGGAAAGTATCCATTGGGTTTGACATTAGGGAACCATTGCAGAAGAGTAATCAGGGAAGTCAGACTGCAGCAAGTTGAGGAGGGGAGAATGGGCACATCAAGTGCAGATGACTCTCTCGGAGCTCTGATGTCAAGGGGAAGAGAGAGGACAACAAAATGGCAAGAGGTACCAGGAGAGAGTTTCAGTTTTGCTTTTCTGTTTGGGTTTGAAGATGGTACAGACTTGCGCATATTTATGTTTTAGAGGGGAGAAAGAAAGAAAGAAAGAAAGAAAGAAAGAAAGAAAGAAAGAAAGAAAGAAAGAAAGAAAGAAAGAAAGAAGGAAGGAAGGAAGGAAGGAAGGAAGGAAGGAAGGAAGGAAGGAAGGAAGGAAGGAAGGAGACAAAGGAAAAGAAAGGAAGAAGGAAGGAAGGAAGGAAAAAGAGAAAGAAGAAGGAAGGAAGGAAGGAAGGAAGGAAGGAAGGAAGGAAGGAAGGAAGGAAGGAAGGAAGGAAGGAAGGAAAGAAGAAGGAAGGAAGGAAGGAAGGGGAAATATATTAACAGAAGAGGAGACATGACTGACTATCCAGCATCTCACCATGCATGCACCATCTCCTTCCTGGAATGCTCCTCTCTGCCATCTTCCCCTGGTCAACACCGTCATCCTTCACCCAGCAACTTACCTGCCACTACCTCCGAGACTTCCCTTATTCTTTTAGCCCTCACACCTGCAGTTACCTGTTGAATGTCACACCGCTAAACTATAGCACAGGCGAAGATGATGAGTGTCTCATTCGCAGCACTAGCACAGTGCCGGGCACACAGGGGATGCTCAAAGGTTCACTGAATCACCATGTCATTGCACTCCTGGTGAGTAGCAGGTCTATGTGCTATCAAAGTCCAGGTCAAATACCATATGCTACCTATGAAAAAGAACCATCACTTCTCAGATGGTTTTCCATGCTCTCTACCTGGCTGTCCCAGCTTGGGCTGGTTTCAGGGCCACTAAATAGGACTCTAGAGCATGTGACTCAAGTGAAGGCAGGAAAGTTACGAGACATTTTCTCAGAGAATGGGCCCTGCCTTTTCTGCTCTGTTACTTCCTTACCAGCGGCTAAGCCACGGCAGGGACAACAGCTGCCTCAGGCTTTTTACCTTACCCTTAGATCCTAGATACGAATGTCTTATTCTAGAGAATTGTCTGTGATTGATTGCTAGGCCGGGCTCTACGGCTCCCTGGGAACTGGATCATTTGTAGTAGTGTGGTACTTGTTACTATCTCCAAGCTTTTATTTGGGAAAGGGTCTATTTAGAAAGTAGATCCTTGGGCCAGATGTGATAGCTCCCATCTGTAATCCCAGCACTTGGGAGATGGGGGTGGGGGGAATTGCTTGAGCCCATGAGTTTGAGACCCCTGTCTCTACAAAAAATTTAAAAATTAGCCACATGGTTGATGCACACCTATAGTCATTGCTACTCAAAGGCTGAGACAAGAGGATTGCGTGAGTTTGGAGGTCAAGGCTGCAGTAACATGCCACTTCACTCCAGTCTGGATGACAGAGCAAGACACTGTCAAAAAAATAAGAGAGAGAGGCCGGTGCGGTGGCTCACGCCTGTAATCCCAGCACTTTGGGAGGCTGAGGCAGGTGGATCACGAGGTCAAGGGATCGAGACCATCCTGGCCAACATGGTGAAACCCATCTCTACTAAAAGTACAAAAAATTAGCTGGGCATGGTGGTGCATGCCTGTAGTCCCTGCTACTCAGGAGGCTGAGGGAGGAGAATTGCCTGAACCTAGAAAACGGAAGTTGCAGTGAGCCAGGATCACGCAACTGCACTCCAGCCTGGCAATAGAGCAAGACTCTGTCTCAAAAAAGAGAGAGAGAGAGAGAAAGAAAAAGAAAGAAAGAAGGAAGGAAGGAAGGAAAGAAAGAAAGAAAGGATGGATGAAAGAGAAAGAGAAAAGAAAGAGAGAGAAGAGAGAAGAGAGAAGGGAAGGAAAGGAAATATATCCTTGAAGGAGCTGTGTGTCTCTACCACACTGAAGTTTCTGGAGAGGCCAAGCTACCAACCTGTGCTTCCCAGTGCCTCCAGCAAGGCCTGGCACATGGCATTCAACAAATGCTTGGTGAAAGGATGAGCAGGCAAGTCTTGAGCTGGGTTGGAACAGGATGCTGTCAGTGATTCACTTGTTCCGGGATGCACTTTACCAGGTTACCTTACCCTACTTTTGTTTCTTGGCAAGAGCCAACTCTCCCACATGGCTGCATGTTTGGGGTTGGGTAGTGGGGAAGAGTTGGCAGCCCGCTCTTTATCTCACACCTCTTTTCTTCTGAAGTCAGTGTCTCTGAGAAGTGTGAAAAAGGAGTGCTCCTTTTGCTGTGCTTGGTTGTGGGTGGAAACACATTCTAAACTAAGCCTCACGATGAAGTGCTCTCATTACATTTTGGGCTTTGTTTCGAAGGCCTTGTACTTTGAGCATTGGACACTTACGCAGATTGATCCAAAATCCCAAACCTTTATGGTCTGAATGTCACTAATTCTAATCCAGATATGGGTGAGAGGCAGATGGTGGGAAATGGTGACTGTGGGATGCAGACCAGACACTGCTCTCCCAGGAGACGTGATTTAGCAGCCCAGGAGCTGACAGTTGCCAACTGCTGACCACGTCAGCATGGTGAGGAGCACACCTTACCATCCTCTGATGGCAGACTGTGCTAAGCTGAGCGGCCTCCTCCCCACTAAGGTAGCCAAGCCCTCTGGCTGCCCCTTTATGCTGAAAAGCCGAGTAGCAGATTTCTTTCCACCTCCTGTGTGGCATCATCTCACCATCATCACCCCACCATTCTAGCAACTACAATACCTGGGGCTGCGGACTCTCACCTCACAATTACCTGCCTCCCATGACTAGAAAAGGAAGCCAGAGCCTCCTAAGTAATCGTGTCAGTCTCTGTTGGATGTCAGCAAGGTCTAAGGACAGAGGGACCAGAGATCTAAGGGAGAGATTTAGCCTGTGGAGGAAGACGGCCAAGCCTGGGGTCCTTATGCGAGGGGTCTGCAGGCTCCCGCCCTGCTCTCTGTCGGTTCTCTTGGGAGAGGTTTTCCTGTGATTCTGTTAGCTTTCTCAGTAGCATCCTAGCTAGTATTTATTGCTTGCTGACTCCACAAATGCTTCAGGCACTTCGTTAGATGCTTTATTATACATTATCTCATCCCAACTCTAGAAATTGTTATCCCTATTTGGTTGATGAGGAAACTAATGATTAGAGAGAGGATAAGTAACTTCTCCAATGTTAACAGCAGCACATTGAAGACTGAGGATTTGAACCCAGCTCTCTTTGACACACAGTAGGTACTCATTCACTACTCTGCACAAATGTCCACAGCTGGTGCTCTTAATACCTGGACTCCGTGGCTCCTTTCGCCTGCATCGTGGCAGTCTATGCTTCCTTCCAGCCACGGGCCTTCAAATGTAAGACCTGGAAGAAAAGCTGCGGTCAAGCAGGGCCATTGGAAGAGGGGTCAGATAGGGTGTGGAGCGGCGCGGGGGATGGTGAAGAATTCAAAACCTAACTTTATCATTGCTCACCCTTTCAAAAACCAAAGCCAAATTTAGGAGGAAGGATACAAATGAGATCAGAGAAAATCCAGGACATGAACCTCTGCAGCTCTTTGCCAGCCCCATTCACAGCTGCCAGCCTCGTGTTCGCTGATGATTTATACCTTGTGTGGCATCATGGCAGCCGTCCCTGGGTTCCCATGTGTGAATGTACTCATGCAATTGATTCATTCATCAGGCTCCATTGACACCCTGTGAGCAAACAGTTGAGGAAGATAAAAAGACACACGAGACAGACCCCACCCTCAAGGAGCTCACAGTGCAGGAGGTGAGCGAATGTCTAGATTCTTTCTTGACTTCCATCAAAGAGATGTCCTTTAACATGTAAGATTCATCGGCAATGCCAAAAATGGAATTCTTGCAGCAGGAGGTTGGTGAAAATGACCTCTAAACCTCTTTTCATCTCTCAGCATCCCCAATCCCATGCCTCCTATAGTTTAACCTTTGAAGAAGAAATTGCTTATATCGTTGCAATTTTCCAGTAAAAGCACAGCTACTGTTAGCATTGAATATTTCAGAAAAGCCCTGATTTCAGATATCACGTCATAAATAAATGTGATTGGAAGATGGCATTTAGTAATTGGCCTCTTTAAGCATGTGTCTTTCTGCCTCAGTAGACGGGGTCCTGAGACCTGTGGTGTTTGCCGTCCTCTGGGCCTTTGCTTCCCTGGCTGTGTGGTCAGGAACCACTTTGGGATGGCTTGTGCGTGCTCCGTGTGTGTCTGCTGATAGTGCTTCCCGGTGGACTGCAGCTGCGGGATGATCATAGGCTTCAGCATGCCTTTATTTAGTATCTTTTGCCCATGTGGTTGCAGTCAATCCAATTTAATTCAGCTCAGCAGAAGTTACTGAGCACATGTGCTAGGCACTGTAGGGGATGTAGAAACAAATGGCACTATCAGACATACTCAAGGAACTGAAATGGACAGAGGAGACGGGTAAAACAAAATTAAAGAGGTCTAAACAAAGGGCTGAGCACGAAGGGGATGGAAGAGAAGAACTGTGCCAGGGCAAGGTAGGAAGAGCTGAGAGAGTAGGAAGCGTGGTGGAGCTAGGCCGGAAGGACCTATCCAGCAGCTCAAATGCAGGGAGCATGTCGGGTGGTGGCCACAGCCTGGGCAACACAGGAAAGGAGCGGGAGGGAGGGGGCCGGGGAAGGGGAAGACCCATGTAGATGGCCAGGCTTGGGTGGGTGGGGAAGGGGCGCCTCATTGTGGGTGCGATTGTTTTATAAGGACAGTGCAGAGTGTGTGTGTGTGTGTGTGTGTGTGTGTGCGCGCGCACGTGTGCTTGTGTGTGCCTGTGTGTTGGAGAAGCAGCAGTGGGAATAACTCAGTTAAAAATTCAGGCCTGGCAACACAGTTGAGAACGAGGGTTGAATTATAGATATCTTTTCTGAGGAAAGATTAAAGGCGAGGTTTTCTTTTTTGTTTTGTTTTTCATTTTGGCTGTTAGTTTTAAGTAGGTCATTGGAACCTCCAGTGGTTGGTAATTGCTGGGCAAGGCAGCGTTGCCTTAGAAGAGCAGGCTCCAGGAGCTGTCTTCCCCCAGCGCTCTATCCTATGCTTCTTGTGGTTTCAGGGGCCCACGGCTATTTGGCCTCATTATTTTCACAAATACTCGCCTGTAACAATGAATTCCAGGAGTGTTTGTAATTGATTAGTACAAGTAAGTTGAAGATGAATGACTCTGTTTCTCCCTTCATTGTAGAGCCCACACTTCCTTCCAGGATCTGCTCCTCGGCCCCGTTACTCTATTTCCTGTTCATCTGCCCCTTCGTCCTGCTCCTGCTTCTGCTCATCTCCCTCCTCTTCTTATACTGGAAGGCCAGGAAGTTGTCAACGCTGCGTTCCAGCACACGGAAAGAAAAGGCTCTCTGGGTGGACTTGAACGAGGCTGGAGGTATGACCACAAACAGGAGGGAAGACGAGGAGGAAGATGGACGCAGCTGAATCCCGAGAGGCACCTGCAGCTAGGAAGGAAAGGTGGGGGTTTCTGAACTGGGCTGACCGGGGTGTGAATGAATCCTGGTTCTGTCCTCAACTATGTCTGCGGTCCTGGGCAAGTGACCTAGGAATCAGAGGGAGCATTCGCTGAGTGCTTACTGGTTCCAGGCATCGTTAAGGGTTCCTTTGTGTCTTCCCTCATCCACTTCTCGCATCCCCTGCTGGAACTAGCCAGCATCATTACCATATGTGTCTTGAAGGTTCAGGGCCCTGGGCTGCAAGGAAATAAGAGGCTCCCTCACACGGACTCTGGAGGGCTGCAGCAATGCCCTGGTGGGGCTGCTCTCTCCTCTTTTATGTCACCAGTCACACCGACTCTAGGTAATCATTTTCCTCCAGATGAGAGGTGTAGGAAAGGGCCTGAGGCCAGCGAGGCAAAAGGAGTTGGGAACATGCTCTTTGTTTACCTAAAATTTGCCTCCCCAACAAGAATGTAATTTCCTTCAAGGCAGAAATCCAATTTTCTTCTCCCAGCCTACCTACAAAGGCCCACTGGAGAGTGAGCTCTGCTAACAGGTGCGTCACTAATACAGGTGCGTCACTAATACAGGTGCGTCACTAATACAGGTTCCTTGACAAAACGATGAAACACTTGTAGCCTGAGTCTGGGTTGTTTTTTGTTTGTTTGCTTATTATTCAATAAGACTTTTTATCAAGTAATTAAATGCTAAGCAAAAACTTTTAAAAACTCATGGAACAGTGCTCCAGTCAGCCCCGCAAGGCCTCCTGCACCTGCTTTCCCCCACGCCTCCATACCCCACCAGAAGGTCCATGTGGCTCCTGGTGCTCAGCCAGTGCCTCATTTTCTTTGACCTGATGGCACTGGGAAGTAGCGAAGGTGGTGTCTGGAGGAGCAGGTCGACAGTGCCATGGTCCCCGCATACTCCTGCAGGGCCGAGCTTGAGGGGCAGCAGTAGGTCAAGTCTGGTTCCCCAGCATCTCTTATTCTCAGTCGCAAAAAGCAGGAGGTGGGGGTGGGTTGCAAGGGTGGGGTGTAATGGGTTAAATCTTTCAACAGCTGTCCCCACTGGGCCTGCAGTCCCCTCATCTTTGTTTCAAAAGTTGCTCAGGCCCTGTTGTAGCCAGAATTGGAAATCAATCAGTGCCACCTAACAAACTTGAGAAAGCACATCTATTTATTATCTATGTGACCAACCGAGTTGCTTTAACGCTCGTTGATTTGCATGTCCAAGGAGAGCAATTTACTTTTAATTATTTGATCAGGCACACAAGTTTTTTTACAAGGGGATTGCTGGTGGCTATGAGCACTCCTACCATGGACCTACAGGTTCCTTAAACTCGCGTCCCTTCATAGCCTGATTTAAAATACTCAGCACGTTTGCTTCTTGTCACCCAGGTAAGGGAGCACATTTTTACAACAACAAAGCTGAGATGAGGACTTCTTAGAAAGTTTAATGACCCCCTGTCCCTATTTTTTAGAAACCTGTATTTTAATTTAAAGGGAAAGAAAGCAGAAGCGAGGCTGGGCAGAGAATCTTGGATGGATTCTGCCGCAGCCCTCGCAGGAGCACCCTTGCCTCCATCCCTCCTCTCCCCTCACCTGGACACGTCCTTCAGCTTTGAGCTCAAATGCCTCTTCCCCTTTGAATCTAGCACTGAAGGGCAGACAGGGAGAGTCTCCTGGGACGGTAGAAATTTAACCAACTTGAGCAACCAGCCTGTTTTACAGCTTCCTGCCCTGCTGCCTGTTTATTTCTAAGTCCCGTGTGCAATGCGGTGACCTCGTCAGCTGGAACCAGCTCCTGACAGACCCCCGGCAACGTCTAGATGAACCCCAGTGAACTTGCCTCATTACCATGTCGAAGTAACTACCCCGGGAGGAGCTATAGCTTCCTGACCGGAACATGTGAGCTATGTGCTGGCATGACAGCCCTCTGCAGCTGTGCCACGGGGACCCCTCCCCTATATGCACTGTCTCCCCTCTCCATCACCCCATAAAACCCTCCTGTCACTTTCCTTCAGAGACACCACTTTGGAGAATATTCTCAGTGCTCTCCTTGCTTGTGACAAGTAAAAAACTCCTATTGATCAAAACCCATGTTCTCGTGAAGAGTCGTTTGTTACTTGCCTGGCAAACAAACCCCATTTTTTACCAGGGAACGGAGACCCTCAAATATGAAACTATTCTGGCCAGAGCAGAGCGTGGGAAGTATGAGTTCCCAGCGGGCATCTGCTGCATGTCAGGCCCTGTGGTAGGAGCAAGGGGTCCTGTGGTGACGCAGACACAGCCCCGTCCCCCTGGGATGATCACCTTGTATGTCCTGGATGCTCTGCTTTCATTCATGGGACTTAGAGCTCCTTTGATTGTCCAAGCGGTTACATGGCACTGTCTGTCCCACAGGCAACTAAAACCCTCCAAAACTAAAACAAACACCACCACAGTATTTTCTTCCTTTCAAACTTACAAAATAAAATTTGCCCTGATCCAGTTCGGCAGACATTTATGTGAAACCTCTTCTCTCTCCAATTACGTACTTGTTCACTTTTGGTTTTTGAAACTTAGTAGAGAGCTTTACTTTTACTCATTGATTTCGGCTTTTCCATTTCATGCCACCACCTGGTTTTACTTTCAACTTTTTGTGTTATAAATCCTCCTTGGCAAAAGGACAAGCCTCTGTCTCAGGAGTTGGCCAACCAGGGCCTATGGGCCAAACATGGCCCACCACCTGTTGGTTTTTAAAAATATAATATATTGAAATATGGTCACTCCCATTTGCTTACGTACTATCTGTGGCTGCTTTCATAGTAAAATGGCAACGTTGTGTAATTGCCACAGAGACCATCTGACTGATGTTGCCTAAAATGTTTACTATCCGACCCTTTACTGAAAACGCTTGCCAGCCCCTGCTGTCCTTTAAAGGCAATGTTCTGTCTCTCTTAGACCTGTATTACGTTCCTAGGAAACTAATTTGACCTCTTATATCTAAATCTCTTGTATATCTCTGGTTAATCTAATAAATGATCTTTTTTTTTTTTTTGAGACGGAATTTCGCTCTTGTTACCCAGGCTGGAGTGCAATGGCGCGATCTTGGCTCACCGCAACCTCTGCCTCCTGGGTTCAGGCAATTCTCCTGCCTCAGCCTCCCGAGTAGCTGGGACTACAGGCACGCGCCACCATGCCCTGCTAATTTTTTGTTTGTTTAGTAGAGACGGGGTTTCACCATTTTGACCAGGATGGTCTCGATCTCTTGACCTCGTGATCCACCCGCCTCGGCCTCCCAAAGTGCTGGGATTACAGGCGTGAGCCACCGCGCCCGGCCTTCTAATAAATAATCTTAGGGTTTCAGGACTGACATCTAGTTCTGAAGCCCAGCTCCTCTGTACCAGGCTTATACTATAGATGGGAAGCTCGTCACCCTGCACTGAAGTCCAGCTCCTCTGTGCCAGGCTTATACTATAGATGGGAAGCTCGTCACCCTGCACTGAAGTCCAGCTCCTCTGTACCAGGCTTATACTATAGATGGGAAGCTCGTCACCCTGCACTGAAGTCCAGCTCCTCTGTGCCAGGCTTATACTATAGATGGGAAGCTTGTCACCCTGCACTGAAGTCCAGCTCCTCTGTGCCAGGCTTATACTATAGATGGGAAGCTCGTCACCCTGCACTGAAGTCCAGCTCCTCTGTACCAGGCTTATACTATAGATGGGAAGCTCGTCACCCTACAGTGTTTCATACTGTCGTACTGAGCACCTCCTCTGTGCAAGATAAGCTGACACAGAGATGACTAAGGCATGGTTTCTCTGTCCATTATTTTTACTATATTGAGATGTATAGAAAAAACTGACTTATGGTAGAAGATGAACACAATGGTGTAAAGTCATGTGCCATGATAATTTCTTACAATCGTACAGAATTTTTTCATCATCTCAGAATTTCACACCATGTCTATACAAAAGGAACTGTTTTTCCTGTCCTACCAGAAAGGAATTAAAGCTCAGAGAGGTTGGGATTTATCCAGGATTACCCAGCCATATGCAGAAGAGGAAAGGCTCAAATTTAGGTCTGCTGACAAGTCCTGGACTCTTTCCACAATAAACACTATGATCAAATCCACTGCTATGGGGGAAAATCTGGATATAATAATAGCCACCTCCAATGGATGTTATGGTGACCAAATCAGATACATAAGTGGAGATAAGTTTCGAACCATATCAAGTCATAAATGAATGCCAGAATTAACCCAAGTCTTTCTAGGACTTACCTGTCCATGTACATAAATAAACTATAATCAATAGTAATAATCCAAATTCTATAGGCTTTTTCCCCAGGATATTTTCACAGGGTCTTGGCCACCTACAGTGGCCTTTAGATATTTCTGCTGGATTTCCCAAAATTCTAGAAATTTTTTTTAAAGAGATGAGGTCTCACTATATTGTTCAAGCTGGCGTGGAGCTCCTGAGCTCAAGCAATCCTCCTGCAAGGACCCCCAAAGGAGCTGGAACTACAGTTACATACCACCACACCTGGCCCAGATTCTGTGAATTCATATACGCTCACGAGCAAGTCCATTCCCACGTGGTTCCCTGAAGCTCTGTAGGGCTCTGCAGGCTCCCCCTGCTGCTGGGGTCTTGGAGCATATGACATGCCAAGCTGAGTGGTGTTTGGTGGTAAGCAAGGAAAAGGGTCTCACTCTCTTTCTGTCTTTCCATTACACTCTGCAGTAGGGATACAAATTCAAGACCGTTTGCACTCCTGTGTCTCTAAAGAGTCTCTTGTGAAAACTGCTCCATTAGCATTTGCCCAGTATCTCCTTTCTCCAGAGTCCAGACTCCATAGATGCTGCGGCCAGGCTGGGAGAGATCTCATGCTTTGCTCTCGATTTCCCATTTCCTGTTTCCAGGAGCCTCTGCAGTAACGTCTTCATCACAGGTCCTCTTTTCCTCCAGCAGGAAGGTTATGCCATTGTGCTGTCAGGGAGGCTCCACCACTTGGCAGACGGGGCCTGAGAAGTCTGCATTCCCCGGAGGCTCAGGTGACTTCTGTTATACTGGCTATTACTTTAGACTCCTAATAAAGTGCTACAGGCATTTAGAACCCAGAGACAACTGGCTGGGCGCGGTGGCTCATGCCTGTAATCCCAGCACTTAGGGAGGCTGAGGCGGGTGGATCACAAGGTCAAGGGATCGAGACCATCCTGGTCAACATGGTGAAACCCCGTCTCTACTAAAAATACAAAAATTAGCTGGGCATGGTGGCGCGTGCCTGTAATCCCAGCTACTCGGGAGGCTGAGGCAGGAGAATTGCCTGAACCCAGGAGGCGGAGGTTGCGGTGAGCCGAGATCGCGCCATTGCACTCCAGCCTGAGTAACAAGAGTGAAACTCCGTCTCAAAAAAAAAAAAAAACCAGAGACAACTTAATAAAGAAGATATAATTTGAATTGGGCTTTAAAAGTAGGAAAATATTTTGGCAGGAGAAGGGTTAAGCAGGAGTCTGGACAGAGGAAGCCCCAGGAAAAGTGCAGTGCATGGAGCAGCTTTGGTTTAAGTGTCTAATCTAGGAAGAAGATCAATGTGAGATAAATCCAGAAAGGCAGTTAAAGTTCTGGGGTTGGGGAGGGAAGGAAGAAAAGATCTTGAACATGCACAATATCTTGGACTTCATGTCGTAGACAGTAGTGAGCCAGTGAATGTAGTTTAGTAGGGAAGGCGAATTGAAAAGCGGCAGCATAGATGATAGGTGTGTTGGCGCGAGGAAGGCCGTGGTGCGAAGGGGAGGTGGGGAAGCCAGCTGGAAAAACCTCCTCACTCTCTTAATTTGTGTAATGGCTGTAACACCAATTTCGTGGGCATTTTGAGTCTAGAAAAAAATTATCGGAAAGTTTCAAATATCTTATCAAGCTCATAGAGGTAGCTATTATATGTTTGTTGAACATGATGACACATTATGAGACTCTTCTTATGTCTAATAAATTTTGGTTAACCCAGTTTCCTACTGATGAGTGTAAAGGTAAGAGACAGTTCCATCCATTTGTTATATTAACTGGCTTTCCTTTATATACAGTTATATATATATATTTATATATACATATATTTATATATTCACCTTTACATTTAATTTACTTGTTAGACATGTGGAGTTTCTACCATATTGTTTCTTTCTTTCTTTTTTTATTTTTTTGCATTTTAGGTTTTGGGGTACATGTGCAGAACATGCAAGACATTTGCATAGGTACACACATGGCAGTGTGTTTTGCTGCCTTCCTCCCCTTCACCCACATTTGGCATTTCTCCCCAGGCTATCCCACCACCATATTGTTTCTTAATCCAAGGCTTCTTCTGAACCAGCTCTGACTGCCAAAAAGGGATGTTTCAAGTTGAAGCATAATTATCACATTAAACCATTCACCAAGACAAGGCTATGTTGGATGAGGACAGTGATTAAGAAGTTTCTATGTTATAAATGACCAGCATAGGAAAATCGAAACTATTACTCCTAGAAGGTCACATTGGGAAGGGCATTGAGAGTGTGTGCTTCCATTTTAAACTGGCTTTTCAATGGTAAGATTCTTGGTGGACTTATCTCATCCTAGTCCCTTTCTGGGTACCCTGCGTTCCAGCCACACCAAATTACTTGCCAGGTAATTACCGCCCGGGTCTCTACCAAACATGCCCCTGATTTTGTGTCTTTCATTTGGAAATGTTTTCCTTTTATGTGATCCTGTTAGTCCCACTACATCGACTTCAATATGTGTTTATTGCTGACTGTGTCCACATAAGCTACCAGGGAAAAACAATACTGTCCGTTCTTCCGTTTACCTTTTCCGGGTCGGATCATGTTCGTGCAGAGAGTTGTGATGCAAACCAAGATCTCGGAAAGCTCCCTGCCCTACCTCATGCCCTTTGGTAATTATCAGATTTTGAGGTCCTATAATGTTATCTTGGGTCCTCTCTCCCAAAACCGCACTCGGCTGGGAGGCCTTTTTTGTTGGCCTGATGTGCACGCGTGGCACACAAATACACCGAGAGACAAAGTAATATGGAAGCTGCCCTAGGTTACCGGCCCAAGTTTAAAGCCGCTACCTTGCCTTTTATTATTTACATAGGTACTCCTTTACTGTGAGGGCTTTTCAGCATGTTCCTCATAAGAGTCACTATGACAATAGCAATAAATGTTCTTTGATGACATGCTTATGCAGTGAGTCTCTAATCAAAACATATATCAGTAATAGTTATTTGGGCACAATAATACTATAGACCAGGGATCGCAAACTTAGGTGTTTCAGCATCTAGGCAGGTAAATGAGGAGAAAGTATCAATACGGTCTGGCGAAAATCCTTAGGGAGTGATGAAGATTAGAGCGAATGGAGCATGCATGTCTGTTGAAAGGCACTTAAGTTCAACATGAGATACAAGACATTATGCAAGGGAATCAAAACACTTTGGGGGTGGAATTCTATTCCTTGTAATCCCTGCATC